TTTCCCTTCCCCCCCCCCCCCTCTCTTAAATGCATTACACAGAAGTTGTGAGTATTATGCGCTTCCCTTCTAATTATCAAATATTTTTTGCTTTGTTCGACTCTTATTTGCTATGAACCTCAATAAAGTTGAAGTCACATATTTCAATAACGTGTAAGAACGATATTGAGCTTAAAATATTGATTGCATTTCATATCGTCATTCAAAACAAAACGTTAGACATTTTAATTTTAACGATTAAGTCGAGAATAAGACAAAGAATTCTCATTTGCACGTAGCTGTTAAAAAGTTTAGTCGTTTTTACATAACAATTTTTTTGCACAACGAAACGACAACGATGAAGCTAAAAATTATCCCTTGAGAAGGATGTAACAAGACGGTTAAGGGATGAAGCTTCGACTGTTTCATGCGTACAATGAGCGACAATTTGGCATTCATAAAATATTAAAAACCAAACAATTGTGACACCACTTTATCAAAAATAATAATAATAATGCTTGACTCGTTACGCTCTTCCTCCCTTATGTTATACGATGTTGAAATTCGGGAACAAATATTTTAATATTCCTGTGTTAAAAAGACCGAATGAATGGATGATGAACACACCGCGTGTTAAGCATAGAAAAGCACCAACACAAACACGATACATTATGTAACGTTTGAGACTCAAGATATTTAATAATAAAAAAAATAAGAAGAGACAAAGCATAAATATGAAAACATTTGAAGGAAGGAAAAAACTGTGAGATTCTAGTTAAATAAAATGAGAAGAGTAATCTGGAATGAGTAGTTGGAAGCGAATAAGTTATAATGAAAATTTTTGATTTTTTTTGTCTAGAGAAATATGCGATGAAAGAGTTATGAATGTATCATTTACTAAATGTAAATATAAAAAAATGACATGAAGTAGATGAAGGTAGAATGTAAACCTTTCGAAGAGTGAGTATTATAAATAAATTCAAAAAATTGAAAAGAAAAATTTTCCAGTTTCCTTATATCTTCAATATTAATTTTTTTTATGTCTCTTTAGTATTTTTTTTAATAGAACTTTCGTTGTCGAAACGACAGAAAGTTGAATATGTATTGAAGTAGAAGCAGTCAGCAACATACAAAAAAGGATCAAGATCCTTCGGATCCTTTCACCATTTAATTTTTTTTTTCTCTTCTTTTGTATCTTATTCCATTTATGCCTTTACCAATTTTTTTATTTCTCTCTCGTTATAGGAAATGACTGCCAGCAGAAAAAAAACCTTCTTTCGTGTGATGTGTCCCTTCGTCTTTCGCTTTCCTATTTCATTTGGCTGTGATCTGAAAAAAAGGTTTTCATTTAGAAGAGATATCCTTAAGATACAAATTCATCCTTCGCCTCGCTCTCACTTATTTTCATCGTAAATTCCCCACCATTCAGTTAGGAATAAAATCTTTTTAGAAACAGAAGAAAAGCGACAGAAAAATATAATAAAATAATTTTTCGCTTTAACGAGAAAAATAAATAACCATGATAGAGCAGAAAAAAAGGACATTACAGAGGACTATTAAAGTTGAGAAAAAAATGTGATGATGCGGGGTTGGCTGTAGAATCTTGTGTAGAATATAGAAAAGAGAATGAGAGCGAGAGAGAGATCAAGAAAGAGAAGCAGTCACATTTGGTAAATATCTTCCATCTCTGACTTTTCCATCACAACGTAGATTGGTTTTTTGGCTGTTTCGTTTTTTAGAAAATTTCCATTTAACTTTTACGGCTTTTCTTTTTGTTTTCATGTTCAAAGCGCGCTATTTATTTCATTTGAAGCAATTTTAAAGTCGAAGGAAACAAAAACAAAGTAAATTATTACGGTTAATAAAATGTTTAATTATAATCAGCAATAGAAAGTTTCAGTAGAGACGGTAAGCGGAAGAAAAAAAGAATGATTAGTACCTTGATTAGTACATATCATAGAGTATTAGAAAGAGAGAGAGAGAAAGAGAGACAGAGAGATTAAGAAATGAAAGTGAAGTTGTATCAAACGATAATTGTATGGAATAATTACGATGTATAGCTACTCTGCTTCAGGAGGGAAAATTTCTGAAAAAATCTTTACCAACATTGATATCTTAAAAAAGAAAGAAAGATGATGAAATTTGTCTTACTCCCCTAAATAAAATATTGAAATAGACATTTAGCCGCAAAAAAGTCATTTTCCTTGAGGAAAACTTCGTCAAGCGTTTCTTCTAGTGCGAGATTTGTTTTTATTTTTACAGTTATGATTATTGCGTAAAAGATTTTCATCCTCAAAAAAAGAACTCAACTTGTTGACTTTCGAAAACTTTTCTGCAACAAGTATTTTTCGCTACTGAGTCTCGCTTCGTTGGAAAAAAAATTAAAATCCTTCGAGATACACACTTCAGTACTCCCACGTATTTATTTTCACTTTCTAAATTTAACCCCTGCGCTGAAGATTATGGAGAAAAATCTTTGGAAAATTTCTACTTGTATATAAAGCATAATCTTTCAATAAATATAAATTAAATCGGTGATATGAAATGAAAAAAATTTAAGGAGGGATCATAACCCAGCATTATATCTACACGATAGATACATTCAACGAACGAATGAGTTGTAAAAATTACGAGGGTGACAATCAAGTCCAATACCGTACCGAAGCATTCAGTGGCAGAAATCATTTAAGAGATAGAATTGTAGACGAGCTAATGTTGGAATAGAAAACAAAAAATATCCAATATGAGATTGAGACACGGAAACGATTTGTGGTAGTTTTAAAAGTGAAAATCAATAAATTTGAAGCATTATGATGATTCAACATTTCACCCCTTCAAATATTTATCGATTAATGTTTAAAGATGAGATATCTGAGGTGCAGCATTACCTTGAATGGTGCACTTACGATTTATTAAGTTTCAACTTTTAAATTCAACTTGACGTTAATAGAGAAATGTTTTTAATAAATCCAAACCGCTTTAAAAAAGTTCAATCATCATTTTCTTGACGACCCAAGTCAAAGTTCAGAATAAATATGTAAAACCTTTTGAAAGGATCGAAACTTCATAGCAGTTACTCTTGAAAACTATTTGCCCGAATAACCTAAATGTGTTGGAAATATATTTTCGGAATATTCACATAATCTCCGAAGAGCTTTGATCTTTCCCGACCTTAACTTTCCTCTAACAATCCTAAATGTGAGATGAGAACATCCCGCGGATAAATTGCAAAAACATTTTTCCAAACACCATTTATCCACCATGTTACGATTGAGTTATGATATGAAACTCCAAGCGCAACCTCTGTCTTCCAAAATCTTCTCTTAAGATGGGGAAATCGTTCGGTTTCATTTCTATCCCACCACCAAGTCAACCCTAAAAGTATCATAATTTCGTTTCTATTCGCAATATGTACATATTCTCTTAAGGTTCCGCACATATTTCTCTTTCTCTTGAACAAGAATAATTTATTATTCAATTCCTAAATTTCATTCCAACTTCCAAGAGAACAGCAGAAGGAAAAAAAATTGTTAAAAGAAGCTGGCAAGAAGGAAGGAAAAATAACCATTTTCCCTTGCTAACAATTTTTTTTTTCTTCTTTCTCATGCTATAGTATGTTTTACAGCAGTGACGGTTCCTTCATAAAAAGCGAATAAACACGTTTAAGTTCAATTTCTACTATTGCCTTCACTGCTTTTAGAAAATTTATTACCGCATTTCATCATTTCCCCGCCTCAATCCACCCACTCTAACATGTCCTTTTACATTCGACGAGAATCTATATTGCTTTTCTTCCTCGTCTTCTCGGTTTATATATTTTTTTATTGTTATAATGCTACGCTTGTGGCCTCGTTTAAAACAAGAGTGAGAAGAAGACTACGGAAATCTGAATAAGAAAATTCTTCTTAGCTTCGGTAGAATATACGTAAACAACGTAATTCATTTTGAAAACAATATCAATCAAATAGAAGGAAAAAAATTCCCCCCTAATATAGTGTTTTAGGAAAATTTTATTTTTGTCACCCATAAAAATCCGTGTCGGTGGTGACATGAATTGACAAATTCTCCTTTAATTCATCCTTTCATAAGAAACTTCGGAAGTAAAAAAAGTAAAGCTTTTAATATTTCAAGTTCAAATCGTTCCAAATCATCTACATAGCCCATAGTTGTAACCTTAAAGTCACCCTTAAACAGCCTTTCATAAACAAACCGCAAAACATTAACTAAACCCGATTAAGTAACGAAAATTACATCATTTCATCATCATCCGAGAGGCAAACATTATGAGAAACTGCTTGAGTGGCAAGACGAGAAATAATCAACCTCATCATCCGAAAATGATTTCTCAGTTACGGTTGAGAGAATCGCAAACATTAATCGAAAACTTTTCCTTCTCTGTAGAAGCTTTTCACAATGTCTAAGGAAGAAAAAAGGTTCAAATTTCGTTTTTCTTTTCACTTACGATGGGAGTTTATTTCTCTTCTTTTTCTTGTCTAAGTATGTTTAACGCTTTTTCTTCTCATTTCACACCAAATTTGTATACATTTCCATGTTCTTTATTGTCAGAAATTCTACCGTTGCGGGGGTGGAAAAATATGAAGAATGCATACCGTGAAAATGTTACATCTTTTAAGCGGAATTCACACGAAGGAAAAGTTAACAATAAATATTCTTAATTATATTTTAAGCTTTTGAATTATCTAACATTTGAGTATTTTCTCCGTCACTGTCCCTCGAGTGAAAAAGAGTGAACCGAAAGCAAAATAAAATATTTATTTTTCCATAAGCCACCCCAAGATTTTTCACCCTCTTCTTCTTTCCTTTCCCTTGTTCTCATCGCAAATATCACAAAATGTTTCATCATTTCAACCTTTCTCTTCAGCAAATCCCAACAACCAACTTTCCCTGTCTCCCGATCCCCTCATCCCCGAGCCACTTTATCCTCACAACAATACACACAGCAAGAACTTTTTTCTTTCTTATTATTCTCATGAATTTAATGAAAAAAAAAGAAAGAAAAAGAGAAGCTGATGGAGAAAAGGCAAAGTGGAAAATCATCCCAAACATTTTTCTCGCATTCTTCTTGTTGTTTCATGCCCTTGTGTGTTGGCATTTTCTGTTCTGTATTTTTTTTTGGGTTTCACTCCGGAAAATGAGTCTCTGCATAAATTTTAATGTGATTCTGTATCGCATCTTATTTTGTGTCCATTTTAATATGTTGTTATTTTAACGCGAAAAAAAGGGTCATTTTATGCTTGGTGATCATGATTTTATCCTAGGAAACCTTGAATTTTTTTAGTTGTTTGAATCCCAAATATAATTGTAATAATCAGAACAATTCTTTTAAAAGACTTCTTAATCTGGTATAATATTGAGAAAAATAAGCTTAAGTCGTCGATGGCTTCGCAGACATATCATTTTACTCTTTTCTCTTTCCATTTTTAATGGGTCAGTAATTTAAAATCAAAATGCTTTTAGATCATTATTCTTCTAATTCTTTTCCCACTTCTAATTTTTCATCGACAACATAGAAAATAAAGCAAACGATAAATTGAAAATTAAATAAATAAATTTCATTCTGAATTTTTCCTTCACGCTCCATTCTCATCACTTAACATTGGAGACAAAGGAAAAGACGATGGTAATGCAAACGACGAAACATGGAATGAGGGCGGTAAAAGAATTTTCCTCTTTTGACTTTTCCAGCCTGTTAAATAATTTTATCAGAAAAGAGAGAAAGATAAAGTCAGAAAAGCACGGAAAAATCTTAAGAGGGGATTCCGAGAGAGAGTGAAAGCTTTTCTCTCTCAGAAGTTTTTTTTTATAAATCGGCACAAGGGGTAATTCATCGTAGTGTTTTTGCCTTCTACATGAATCTTCGGAAAAGCTAGCGATTTTTCAAAAAAAATTATCAATTTCCAGGAATTTTCTTAGTGCTGTTTGGAATTTGCATTATTTTCGATGAATTACCCTTTGAACCGGCGGTAGGAGACAGAAAAGAGAGAAAGAAGAAATAAAAGCTTTCCACTGTGTAAATATAAATTCAACAATCCTCATTATGATCTCTCAACGAAAATCTTTTCATATACATAAATTTATTATAATGGGAAATCACACCCTCATTTTTGTTGAATATTGTTCCACTTGACATTGCTTTTTGCTGATTTGTGTGCTAACTGCTGACTATTCAAAAAGAAAAGATATCATAACATGATCATTTTGACTTTCAAGTACATTGGTGGATCTCAAAAGTTTTTTCTATATACTCTTCACATTTTCTTCTTTTTTTTGTGGTATAAAAAAGTAACGAGAATACATAATCGAAACTTCAATGTAAATAATACAATGTAAAAACATATCCTCAGCTTATATAAAAGTTTATGTACATAGTGTATATAGACGATTTTCACATTTTCTTCATTCCCTCATACCACGAATGAGATGAACGACAAAACACGAGAAACTTAAAATGTGTTTTTTTGCTCAAGTCTCTCATGAACTTTTCTCACACTAAGCAAAAGCTTTTTCCGCAACACATGATATTCAACTCTCTGATTTTTAAATGTATATCTACTCCAGACTAGGATTCGCCTGTCAACTTGGTTTGGGTTGTTTTATAAATTAACCTTTTTTTCTTCGTACAAATACAAAAAAATTTCATGGATTATTAAAACTATAAAAACAACTGAAAATATAAAAAAATGAAGATTTTCCGTCACTTATGATGAACAGAGCTGTTTCGGCACTCTTGTGAACAATCGTGACATATTCATTGCGAACCCTACTCCAGCACAAAAGAAATAACTCAAACCAATGCCACCTAAAAACATGAGAATTATTTTCCTTCCATCCATTCCTACAGAGTTGAAAGAGAGTGAGAAAGAAGCGATTATATTTTATATCGTCGGCTCTGACTTCGATGTGTTGGTGTGTCGAGCCGAATTGAGTCGAGTAGAGGAGGCGACAATAGTGTGGGGAAAGAAGTCTTTCTCATCGTTATTTGGGGGTAGGGAGACACTTGGCTCCTTTCGTGTATTTGTATATAAACCCATCAACCCTCTAAATCAACCATTCAACTTCAACACACAAAAGTATAATAACATTTTTTTTCTTTTGCTTTTGCTGTTCTCTGTTAAATGACTATAGAGAGAAAAAGAACATAACAGCTTTTTGAGGGTGAAAGATGCCATTGCGAAACTTGTTTTATGCTCATATTAAACTTGATCAAATTGTAAGCATTCGCCTTGATATCTTCGTTGAGTTTCATAATAAGCTCATTCGCCCTTCACTGAAGAAAGAAAATCGCTTGAAAACGAAGAGAAAAAATACTGAAATATATATTGATGTTGTCCTAGATATACATATACTATACACATAATTCTGTTATGCTTCTTTTGATTCGGGTAGATTGTTGGTGTTACGTTCTCCTTCTCTAAGATGATTCTATGCGAGAAGCATATTTGTGTGAAGCGTTGGGCGAAGTGAATGAAGAAGAATGGAAATGATTTTTGTGTATTCACCGCATTTGTAGCCCACAGTTGGAGGAAAACTTTTTGCTATAAAAAAAGAAAGCTAACCTTCCCATTTTCATTCGCCTTCATCGTTGATTCCCTTTTGTTGCTATTTTTCGAGTTTTCGATATAAAATCCCTTATTTAGACGAGGACATTATTAATGACATCTCGCATTGCTATATTTCTAGGGAAAATCTATTTAGTAGAAATAAAGGATATGATGTCACTTCATTTGATGAAACGTGTGAAAAGTGAAGGAATTTGAATGTAAATTGTATTACCATTGCGCTACAATTCCACTATTTTAAAGTATTTTTTTAAAGGGATAGAAAGAATATAAACCCGGCAATCGTTTATTTACTGCAAAAGTTGGGGAGGTAATTTGAAACGTGAAATCAAACCTAGTTGAAAACAAATACTTTTTTACACCATTTAGAAAGGAAACATTTCAAACACTGCTTCAGGATAAATTTGGGGGAAGAAAACAATTTTTATTCTTCGTTCTTATGCTAATTTTTATTTCCACTGTAAAATGGCTCTCGATTTTCTTTTGATGATTAAAAAAACGAATTGAAGGTTTTCTTTTCCTGTTGAAGTGAGTGAAGACAGAGAAAAAAAAAGAAAAAAAGAAAAGTCAAATCAACATTGATATTCAATCGTCGTGCGTTAATTTCTGCGTGTTTCATTGTGACGAGAGTCTTGTCGTCCCCAATGATAAAACCATTTTGATTAAGGATATAAAATTGCGCTAAAGCTGAATTCATAAAAAGAAGGAGATGAAGAAATATAATCCATTGTTACGTTCGCTTGATAGTAGAAGGAGAGAGAAAATGAAGCCTACATCGGAAAATAAAAGAACAAATATTTTAATACGTCGAATCATCGATTTATTGAAATCGACTCAAAGGGACTGGGAAGACGTATAATGGGAAAGTTTGAATCAGGGGAAAATAAAGAGCTCTATATAGATCTTTTATGTGTTCTCGAGAACTAAAACTCCTATCGGGAGAATGCGTAATTGCTTGGCATTTTCGGTTTCATTCCTCAGAAAGTCGTATAAGCGATCTGATTTTCGCTTGTTTCCTTCCTTCAACTTTTCTGACAATCCCCACCCGCTTTTCTAATATTTACATATTTGCCGTTTTTATTTTGCTTTTGAATTGCGATTTTTTTCTTTATTCTGACTTCATTCCGTTCCGCTTACTTCTCTGTTTATACTTAGTCGATGGCATAGGAAACGTAAAAGGGAAAACCTTGTAGACGCTTCTATGTCAACAACAACCATAAAGCCTCGTAACATTTCAGCTTAACATTGTTCACTTTAGTCTCGTTTTCTGTGCGTGAATAAAGTTATTTCAAAGTTGCTTTAGTAAAACGTCCATAAATTCTTACGGAACTAACGACTGTCGCAGAAGCCCCACAAAACGAACACAAAAAAAGTATAAAATAAAATGTTTTCAACGTAATTTTTTTTTGAAATTAGAAGCATACTCTCTCGAGAGACATAGACGACTCGAAACATATTTCAAGGTACATAATTATTGAATGTAGCGTGAAAAAAGTATCAATAATTGCCAAGCTAAAGTTCGGTTCAAGTTCTGTTCACAACTAAAGTTCAATAAAGATATCACATTAATTTTCATCACTGATGGCTCTTTGAAGATTAATAATAAATGTTGATATGCTTTGATATCCTTCACTGTGTGAACTTATTACGTATTATCTCAATCGATGAGTAATTCAATGCAGGGGGTTGTAGTCAATTTTATTGCCGTAGTAGGAAGAACTACCATGATTATTTATGATAAATATCAATTTTCATTTGTTCGACACTAGTGAGAGGGCAAATTTATACTCATAGACACATACACAAGTTAAAATACAGCAAACACTATATGAATAATGCGTTGTGTAAATAAATGACAATTTCAATGACCAACTTCATAAATGGTAGAAGAGGCGACATCGATTCGACTTGACTCGAGTTGTGCAATGAACGATTATTATGAATTTGTTGCTTTTCTTTATTCACCATCGATTTGCTTAATAAAATTTTAGTACAGAGAAAGAATAAAGCAATGAAAGATATTTTTAACCTCAAGGCAAATGATTACGAACTTCCCTTCTTCACTTACTTATTAATTGTTTTTTTAACTTTGAAAACAAGAAAACAAGTTGAGAAAAATCAGTCTCTAAATTTATTTGTGTTTCATTTGAGGGTGACAAATATTAAACGGCAGTCACGAAACAAAAGCAGTTCATTCAGAAGAAACAAATTGAGGGGAGAAATTAAGTAGTAATTTATGTTAGATTGTATGTCGTTTTCCACAACATGAGAAAATTGCAGTGAGATTCGAATTTTCTCTCATTTTAAAAATTTCATTTCATCATAATTATTATGACCTTTTAATTCTCCTATTCCCGCTGGTTTATTTCAACCAAGGGGTAAATCATCGTCAAAAATGAGCCGGCAAAAGCACTATTTTGAAAAGAAGCACTAGACAAATTCCATGAAAAAGTGAACAAATTCTTGGAAAATGGCCATTTTTCTTAAAAAGCACTAGTGATTTTCGAAGCATCACTTGGAGGCAGCCGCAAGAAGCACTACGATGAACAGCCCCTTGATTTCAACAATCCGCTCACTCAATTCAATGAGTGAAGAGACGACAGATGAAGAGCAAAAGCATCGACAGAGTGAAACCACTTTATAAAATAACATTGCTACAGGGCGTATTGAAAACAATATTTGCAGCAAAGGAACAACTGAATAAGAGGCCAGAAAAAAAAATTATGTGTATGTTAATGCTCAAATGAAACAATTCATCGACAATATAAAGATAGAGAGAGAAAGAGCGAGAGAAAGAGATTCCAAAACCTGAAAAGCAGCATAAATCAAGGGGTTAATCATCGTAGTGCTTCTGCCGGCTGCCTCCCAATGAAGCATCAAAAATCACTAGTGCTTTTCAAGAAAAATGACCTTTTTCCAAGAATTTGCTTACTTTTTCTTGGAATATGTCTAGTGCTTCAATGCATCAATGGTGCTTCTGCCGGCCAATTTTATTCGATGAACAGCCCCTTGGCATAAATGGAAAGATTAGAGTTGACATTACGTTTTGAGATGCTTGCTGCCTTTTTGCCTTCATGTTGTTGAAAAGCTTGAGCATGATTCACAATGAGGGGTGGTGTCGAAATCCCTGTATCAATTTATCAGGTCTCGAAAATTTTTGGCAACCGAGAAAATGTAGGGAAGGCATGAAATTCGCATTGATTTTGGGTGAAACAATATTTTCCAATAGCTATGTGTCTTTAAGCTGGTATCCGAAAACCAAGGGAAATGGGAGAATCGAGAGCAGATATATTTATTTATTCTACACGCATAGAGCCATCAATATTCGATTTTAGCGTCGAGATATTGTGTCAATTATATAATATAGGATTGGGAGAGTATTCAGTTAAAGGGCTTTACTCTTATGGTGTAGGGAAATATGAATAGAAACGAAATGTTTAGATTGCAAACCCCCAAAATTCAAATATTAAACCTAAAGTTCACTTCCAAAATTGTTTTTCTTTTCCTTTTTCTTTTATCGACAATGTTTTGGTGTCATCGTCGTCATTTTTCAAAGTTCAGTACCACTGAATGAAGTCGATAAGAAGCGCCACGATATTCGTAAAGTCGTGTCATAGTTGAAACTTTCAATCGCATAGTAAAAGCATAAACTATGAAAATTTTTGTTTTCAACTGAAGTTTTTCAAAAGTTTGATTCAAAATATTGACTAGATAAACGAAATAAAAATGTTGAAATAGTTGTTATCGTTTGCATTAACTTTCAATATATCTACATGACGTTTCTTCAATGTGTTTTCTTATTTATTATCTTAAGAAATTGAAGGGTTGATTTTTAAGATTTTATTTTCATGCTACTCATTAAAAGTTTATGTTGACAAGTAAGATTTTAGTAAAACAATTATCAAGCTTTCATATGTTTAAATTTCACATAAATGCGTGGTAGAGATTAAACAACATAAGCCTGCGATAGATTCATTCTATGCCATAGTTAAATTTCAATTTGTAATAATTACAGTTCATTTTTTGCTTACTGTGGCGGCATCAAGTAATGTTCATGAGAATGCAAATAATTTTAAGGGTAGATAAATGGAAGGGAAAAAGAGAAAAAAAAATATAATTTCTTTTCAATTGAGTCTTTGAGTGGGTTCTTATGGGATTTGCAAACGGTATTCTGATTTGGAAAAAAGCATTGAACTTGATGGAAAATTAAAATGAAACTTACAACCCTCGGTTCAACGTTTGCCAACTGGGATGAATATTTATTATTTATTTCTCACTCGAGAATCAAAAGTTAGAAATTCGATTAATGTTTGCAGTTAAATAGTTTTAACCGTTGAATAAAAATAAGTGCAATGTTCGCAGTTGGTATTAAAGAAAAGCAAAAGTAGATTGAGATGTGAAGAGTCAATGATGGAGACGATTTTAGATGAGTCTCAGTCAATATCGGTGATATTTTTTTATGGTTTAATAACGTGGTCATTAGCATGTAATGTTACATCTTGCAAGATGCGAAAACGAAAAGTCAACATATGAAAATATCGTGGAATATGAAGTTAAGAAAAGAAATAAACATTCTGTTTTGCGCAGTTTTCAAGGCTTCAATAGATCGCTGTTTTGTTTATTTTATCATTGTTTTCTTATGATTTATAAATCGATCAAATTCTTGTTTGGTACATTTGACTAAGCTAACAAAATCTAGGATTTGTTTGTTTTTCAATCGTTGAAAAATTGAGAAAAATAAGGAAAATAAAAAAATTATTTTCTGCTGATTCGAAATAAATTTTATTTTATTATTCATAAGCAACTTAAACAAACGACGACGGTGCGTGGCCAAAAGGTGTCAAAGCTCCAATTGGCTATAATTGAAACTGGTTTTCATCTTAAATTTTAATGTTCATGTCATCGAGAGAAATGTAGAAAGTTGAATACAGGAAAATTTGAAACATTTCCCCTCGTCTCATCAACCTGATCGCGTCGTGAAATGTAAAATCCAAAAAAAATGACAATTTATTTCCATAATGTTTCTCGTTTTTACGTAAGCATCTTAAGTAACCAAGAATATGAGTCAATATGATATTTAACAAATTTTGATTCGTTTTAAAACAGGTCAGACAGTTGTTGCTGGTGCTGCTAAAGTTCGTAATAAACCATAGTTTAATTATTGTTTGATTTTTTTTTCTATTTTCTTTCACTTTTAAATAAAAATTTGCGCAAATCAATGCCAAGCTTCGTCTTGTTTTGCATAGTGAGAGTGAGAAACGTGCCGAAAATAAAGAATGAATAATAAAATTAAATAATAATTTTTTTTACCTCGAAAACTAAGATACTTGTGAAAGTACATTATCGCCTTCGAGTTGAAGTGATTTTCTCGCTTTCAATTACACAATTTACTTCGGAACATTGAAATATCTTCAACACCCAGTTAATAAAACATTTTTTTCTTTCATTCGTTTCAAGAAAAGAGCATAAAACATGATGATGAATTATGTTGAAGCTTTTTTTCTCTCTCGGCATTTATTGCAGAGATGAAAGTTTATGGTTCTCTTTGCTGATCTCGAAAGTTTGTAGCATCTTCGAGATTTTCTTCGCTTATATTTTTATTATTTTGTTGATAAATCGAAACAAACACAACTCTTCAAAATATAATGGAAAACAGATTTAAGACCATGATGGAGGTAATCTCAAAATAATTTTATTAAATTTACATTACTATTTGAGTGAGACAATTGCAGTATTCCCAATTGACGTGAAGAAAAATAAAAAGCTTTCAATGTGTGTACAAATAAAAATTTTCATTGCCTCAAGCAAATGTTCATGTGAAATACTTTATCTAGCTTCGTTTTGTATACGTTTTAATAGTTCGCTCAAAATAAATAGTAAACGAAACAACAACAGTTTTGCATTTTAATCTCGCTCGTTCACTGACTTTTGTTACTTGTTTTTTTTTCGGAGGCACACAAAAACGAAGAAAGACTCACGTTGTGTAACGAAATAACTACGAGAAAATATTTTACGAAACGAAACTTTTTAGTTATTTCTACGACCCGTGGTTGTTTGCTGTTTACATGATTTTTTTTTCTTTCTTCTTTACACTATACATTTTACAAATTTTCGACACAAAAGTAGTGAAAAATATCCAACACTCTCTTTTCCTTTCTCTGTTCTCTCGAAATTCCCAATATTTCTATTAAAATTATTGATTGACTTTAAATTTCGTAGAATGACTGAGTTTATTTGTAGATTTAAATTATGGGTTGAGAAACATGCGATTGATTATTGAAAAAAAATAAACGATGGTTCGTTAATTTGCAGCTTTTGAGATCATAAATATGATGATGTTATATATTTTTGTGAACATGCAAAGTGGAGTGTTGGTGACGAATGATTTTCATTCATTAACAGTATTAATGATTACAACTTCCCATTATAGACGTCTTTCATTATCATGCGCTGTTTGAACATTTTTGAGAATTGTTTTTCCGTAACATAAAACCACAAAAAAGTTAGAAATAAAATTCCGAGCAGTGAAGAAAGCATAATTAAGTATAAGAGGCCATAGTCAAAGGCCCATGTTGACACACCTCAAAACCGTTTCTTTTCTAAATACATTCAATTGGAATCATTCAGTCGCAGCGCGCATTTTCTCACTCCATCGAATGATTTATTGGCGCTTTGTACCACAAGATAAATAATTTGACAAGAAAAAAAGAAGAATATCATTCAAATTAAAGCATCGAGAGAAGATAGCAAAGGAAATATAATGAGAAATCGCATCACACGCATGGCACGCATAAATCATAATTGCAATGAATTTCATGAATAATTTTCTGCTGCTCATAAAGTTTTATGTGTTGGTTAGTGAGGTTTATGAAAATATCATGACAGGAGGTATGAATAAAGGCATATCATGCTGAATTATATTGTTAATGCGTGTTTAGTGAATTCATTGATCAATTAAATTTGTTAACAAGGACTTCCGGAGAAGAAATTCTTCAAATCACAAAATCTTTTTCACTTTTGTTTTAATATTATCATTGAAAACGACGAGTGTCGAACAGCAAAAGCTTATCTAACATGCTATTAATTAGATTGAAAAGATATCTATCAAGGTACTTAAACATGACATGTGTGGTGATGTTCTTTTATGTGAGAACTTTTGACACACTCATTTAAATTTTGCTTTTCGAGTAGGATGAACTGTGAAGACACGAATACTGCATAAAGAGGTCTACAAAATAAAACCGCTTTTGCACTCCCACGCTCACGAAAAATATATAAGGTGATAATTTAAGGGATGAACCGCAGCTGGCTACACAGACACTTCCATTGCTTTTTTATGATGTTTGCTTGCATGTTATGTTGTTGTTCATTGGTTCGCGGATGAATGACAGCTTGTAAAAAATATATGAAGTATGATCACAGCTACTCCCTGGTTATTTGGTTATTATCCACTAACAGACTTCCGTTTAGAAAACATATATGAAGTCCTGCTATAATTGGGAAGTTGATTAAATCAACTTGATTTATGGGCTCAATTTCAAATTTTCCTGTTTTCATTCTTTTATCTTCTTTTAATTAATCACAATTTTTGCTGAAATTGTGAATATTGCGATTGGAATAGATAGAAAAAGTCACGAACAAAAATTACAAAAATAAATGCGAACAATCATGAAAATCACGTGGGTAAATCGTCGAAGACACAAACTAAATTAATTTATCGATTATCCTCTCATCATAGACATTTAAACCTGAATATATAAAGAGCATCGTACTTATTCAAATACGTGTGTATATTGTGCAGTTTTTCAAATTATTATTGCTTTTCTTTGTCGACTTTCTTTTTCTTTTACTCTTCGTAGTCAGAAATATCTCTTCAAATACAATTGATAATGTGAGTGTAAATTAACTTCTATTTCTGATTAGCTCAACAAGATTATCAACAGTTAGATCTTTTTTTTCTTCAGTCTTCAATTTCATTCAACCATAAATGATGCGTCGGCGGAAACGTGTTGATGCGACTTTACCAGATATCATAGACCCAACTTGTTTCTCTTGACTTATATTTTTTTCAACTCGCTGGCTTTGTTTCGATATGTGTTTGGTTTGATTGCTTGCTTACAATTTGTTGTTGTATTATTGTCAATAATCAAGTTTGACTCTTAAGATCAATGAAATCGAAAGAAAAAAAATTGGGAAACATGAATTTGCAGAAATTTTCTTCCAGATTTCGGTTTTACTAATATTTTTTTCAACACTTTAGCAATTATATTTACCAATACAATAATAAAATTAATAAAGTAAGCTCAAAAAAAATCGGTGACAGACCAAATTGTATCTAAGTATTACCGATGTATGTTGCTTTTCTTTAAAGTCCAACCCACCCACACAAAGAGAAACATTCAAATAAAAGTTCAACATAAGCAGCACAGTAGAATCGTTAATGTAGTTAATAATTACCGAGCCAATAATTTATGGCTTGAAAAAATTCTGTCCGAAAACTCTTCAAGCACAAAAACTCGTCGCGAATATTTTGTCATTGCGATGTCATTGTTTGGTACTTTTTGTCTGTCTGGTCTAACTTTATGTTTGATTTTCACATTTTTTTCTTCCTGTTCTTGTTTTGTTTAATTTTCTAGTTTTTACAAAATCGAAACTACATTATCCATAATATTACAACATTAATTAATAAATATCATAAGTTTTGAAATGAGCCTATTACATAAAATAGCTTAATTAAATTTCCAATCACATATCTATTTATATCGATTCAGCACATTTGGCGTTCATAAACCAAAAATTTCATATCCTTTTAAGAATGTTAATTATCGAATCGAATCAAAAGAAACAAAAAATATTTGGACGAATAAAGCTTCTGACATAAGTAATGATTGTTCAGAATCCATAGAACAGATTTCTGTCGACACGCATACATTGCACGTTTTGTCCATTTCAGAACAGACAATATCAGACCAGACAGACGACAAAAATGTTCTCATTCATTCATTTCAGGATGATAAAGGAATAGTATGAAGATTTTTTATGAAAGTCGAAGACCGATGAATAATCTGGAAGCTTACTTCTGTGCATTTAATTATCACTTGTTTCTTTCGAAATTTAAAAATTTTTCTTAAGCCTCAAACTTGAAATTGTTTGAGTATAAAGACAAACCATTGAAGTTTGCCCTTGACGACAAGTCTTTCTTTCTTCGTCTCACATTTATTCTTAATTTTCGCATATCGTTCTTCTTCTTGAACTGGATTTCTCAGTTGTTTATTATTTTCTTATTCGCTTATTTACTCCTTCGTCGATGTTCACATCTCTCATCTTTATTAATATCCACAACACATTATATTCAACTTTTTTTTCTTCATCTCTCTCTACTCGAACAATTTAACAAGTCGTCTTGCTTTCCCAAGCACTGTCTTGTTTAAGTTGAAGAATCTTTTCTTAAGCAAAAATTAATCGAATACACGAGGGGAACTAAGCATCTCATGTTGATGAATTTGGTTTCATAAACTAATGATCTCAACGGTCAGAAATCTCTCATGTATCATACATCGACTATAATCTTTTGATTTTTTTCTGTATATGATGCCTTAAATGTCGATCGACGATTATTCGTTACCACTAATAAAATATTAAAAAAGATTGCTTATGAGAACCAGAAGAGAGAAAACAGAAATCAACGAGAATGTGAAGAAGAAATAAAAGTCTTTCGGTGACCACGGGTGAGTATGTTGTTATGATAAATTTATGGCTTGAGGGTTTTGACCATCAACTTTCATAAAACATTTACTACTTGAAGGGAATATTCTTTGAAGTGTCGCGATCAATTTTTCTCAACATCAACAGCACATCTGAAAATTATTTTTATTTATACATTAATGTTTCGTTTTATCTTAAAATACTAATGCTCGGTCGAAAGACTTAAATAAGTTGATGTAAAAAAAACAGAGTTGGGTATCACTTCATATAAAAAAGAATTAAGAATAAAATAATAGTAACATTCAGCTTGTTTACAATTTGTTGAATTTTATGTTTCGCTTGGTTGCTTCTCTTTGCCAACAACACGATATCGCCGTGATAAAGCATTTTTTCCTAGGTAGTCAATGATACCGAACGAAGCGGTAAGCATAGACAATAAAAAATATTTTATGAGCGGGTTATGTTATTAGTTAGTCGCTTTACACTTTAACCGAAATAACAAGCAAAAGAGAATTGAAGTTCATGTTCCGTCATCGTGTCATCAATCTGCAAACCATTAAAAAGCTTTCCTGAAGTTCTATCGGCATTTTATTGTCGTCTTTACTTCTCCTTTTATTGCCTTGAACTTGAATTGAGTTGCTTGCTATAAACTCCACATCAAGAATAATATTCAACAGCAGCGAGGAAGAATCGAGCTAACAATAATAACGCGTGTTGAAAATTTTAATTTCAATTAATAAATTAATTAGTCAGCGATGATCGTTTTTCTGCTTAGTTCTTTGTTTTGCTTTTAAACATTTATTTAACTTATGCATTATTTTGGAAGTTTTCATCTGTTTAATTTCCGTGAATTTATTTACTTTAATAAATTGCTTAATGAGTGACTGGTGAGTACATCACATCACGTCAATGACGTTGCATAAATTGTATGAGAAATTTAAATTAAACAAACACTTCAGACAATTTGATGTTATTCTTTTATATCCGAAAAACAAACTAAGAACTCCAGTAGTTAAACCATAAACCAAAGGTCTTAAGTAGTGCTTCCGGTCTAATTTTAAATGAAGAAAATAAACCGCACATAAATAGAACACAATTTATTACGCAAGTAAATGAAGTTATTTAAAATATTAAGTTTTTGCTTACAGTGGTTTATCGCTTTGGGCTCATGTGACATCAACAACGCAATTTCCATGAATAGCCTAAGAATTAAAAAATCGACAATATTTGCAATGGTTTCTTAGAAGGGACTGGTCAACCTTCACCAATCAAAGTTTTGAAAGTAACTACACTTAATTTCAACTCTTTTGTTTGTGCATTTATCGTCCGAAAATCGAATGCACGAGCTTTAGAACTGACTCGTTTTTAACTCGCCGATTAATCATAATCATTTGACTTGTGCAACCAATTTAAAAACATCCTTCATTGCGCTAAGTTTGTTTTTAAATATGCTGCTTTTGAGCATTGACTATATGACCATGTATCGCGAAAACGATTGTTGTTTAGTAATTTCGGCATACTTTTTTAGTGAGTGACTCAGGGAGAGGTGAAAAATAAGTTTGAAGCTGTATAAATAAGCAGCAATTTTTTAACGCGGAAATGACAGTTGAAGATAAGGAAATAGTTTGCAAATTAGGCTTAAAATTAACATTTTAACTATTTGTTTTCTGCATTCCACTCGTCTAATTGAAATACTTCTGTAACGAAAGTTAAGTGCAACTATTTACATGCGAGCTTGAACGTTAAAAATTCCATTTTCTGCATATACATTGTAGGTCATTGATTTTGTATTCCTTTCTTTCACATATATTCCATGCTTGTTTGTGTGTATGTTCGTGAAAATGCTTCTAAATAAGTATCCAACATAGATTAATGCTTTTTTGCTCTTGCTATTGCTTTGGAACTTTGAATCGTCCAGCTCTGGTTATTGTTACTCCAAATCTTTATTGTTTATGTAAACGCTTTCTCGCTTTGTTTCGATGCTTATTTAAATGAAAAAAATCCTGTTGTTGCTTTTATCATCTGAGAAACTTATACTGAAAACAAAAAATGGCATAACAACTAAGTCGACTTAATACAATTGTGTTGATGAACGTCAGTTGTATTTAAACTCAATTTCATCAATGAAATTTTCCGTCATCAAACATTTATGAAGATTTTAAAAGCTTTTTTATCGTATTTATAGGGCGTTTAAAGACTTTTCTTCGCTCATTCACTCAAGTGAAGAGAAAATAGCGGCAACAAATAAAATTAGATATATGAATGGGTTCTATTAAGGTGAAAACAGTTAGTTTTGGCTTGAAAAACAAGAACCGATTGTAGTTTACAAAAATTATTCTGACGATGAGGAAGCACTCAATTATCTATTATAAAAAGTTGAAAAAAAAACTTAATCTGTTGCCAGCTTTTCACTTTCTTATACATAGATGGTCGGCTCAGTATAAGCACGTAAAAATCTCAGAATGTTTACATTCATGTCTATTGTTGCGGTTGCAATTAAAACGTTTATCTAACTGAGAAGAAAAATAAAAATACATAAACAAAAAAAAGGAAACGGAACATAATTTGAGTTTATATTCAACTTGAAAGCAGAGATGGGCAAATGTTCCGTTCAACTCGATTGACTGACTGACTGACATGTCAATGTCTTTCAGTCAGTCAGTCAGTCAGTCAAAATCGCGAACAAAAATATTCGCTTGTTGGGACACGTTCATATAAATGTTCCGCTCAAGTCGTTTGACTGACTGAGTGACAAGTCAATGTCTGTCAGTCAGTCAGTCAAATCCCAACTCTGCTTGAAAGTAACTTATTCAATTTAGAGTGTATTCAACTCGCATGAAATTCAATCTATTGGAGAAATTTTTCAGTATGAGAATGAAACTTCTGAACTTTAGATGCGATTTGTACATTTGGCGGCTTATGAAATAAGCAAAATAACAATGATTAAGTCACATTCACATAGAAGCAACTCAAAGCGTGTTACTGACATGAAATCAGCACTTATATTTAAATTCATTATGGCTTTTTTCTTTCTCTCCAACCAACAGTTAAACGCTTTCTTTTTGTTCAGATGTTAGTTGCGAAACTTTATTCAGTTGCATTCTCTTTGCTGCTATTTGAATGATTAAATGAATTGTGCAAATTGTTTTCGTGTTGGGTTTAATGATGTCGTCAGAATATGGAACAATGTTTCGAAATAATATTTGAAGCATCACTACGAAGCAATTGCAATAGCAACGATTTCCTATTCAAAATAAAACCTATTAAGTGTGTTTTACAAACATCTTTTTGTTATGCTTGCTTAGCTTTCTTACAATCAATTGAACGAACAAACGTTAAAAAAAGTAGTCCAATTCTTCAAATCAATTAAATGTTGATGACCCAATAAATAATATTTAATACTCTCTGCGACTCTCGTTCTTCAACAAGATCATCATCGACTTTGCATGTTTAGCGTTACATTTTCTTAAGAGATTTAAGCATTTAACACAGCAAATCTAAGCGATAATGGCGCTTTATTTCATTAAATTCAGCTCAGATGAGAAAGCAAAGTTCAAAGATGATTCAGTAATATATTAGCTTGTGTCAATGTTGTTCTATTCAATTGACAGTCAAATTAAAAAGTAGAGAAACTTTCAATGTTGTTTAGTAAATTCGCGTTAACATAATGCTTCCTTCTAGTAAATTGAAATGATTTGTAAGCAAAAGAAAATTGTAATGCGCCGAAAGATAGTTTTTTCTTTCACCAAGCAACAAAAGTTTAGCTCAGAAATTGATTACAAACTCAACAGCAAAAGGCAAAGTAAAGCAAAAAAAAAACAACAATAAAAAGTAATAATTTCGTGATGCGGAACCATTTCTTTAGAGCTCACTTTTCGTTATATATATTTTTTGTGTTCGGCTTTGAAATGAAGTCAAGTCAAAGAAAAAAAGTTGAAACGGTATAGAGGAGAAAAATTGTGAACATGTATAGTAAGCAAGCAAGTACATATTGTAATTATTTTAAATTCACTCTTCTGACTGCCTTCGAAACTCTCTTTCTTGCCGTTGTTTTGATATTGTAATTTTTATATTTATTTATGAATATGATTTAAATTTTTTTTATTTTCTTCGCTCTTTGAATTTTGAAAAAATCATAAGGTTGGATAAGAAAATCATGAAAATTTTGAATGTAACGTCACGGATGAATATCATTGGAAGTGGCTGAGTTTCTTTTTTTTCAGTCCAATGACCTTTTTCTTATTTATTAAAATTTGAAAGATCAAATGTCAAAAGTTTTACAAAATCATCAAAAGCTTGATGCAATTTATGAACGAACGAAAATATTTCTAAGTGTAGGGGTAATTTTATTGGAATGTTACATCATTGCCACTTACCAATAAAGCCATAGTCTCACCATAAAGTGCATTTCATAATTTAATAATTCTGTTTTGTTTACTTTTCAAACATCTTAAACCATGAATAAATTTAAAGTTGAAGAATCAAACAACAAGTACGATTTCAAATAGAGGAAGTTGGCTTATACATACCTGAAAATAAAAAGAAAATAAATATTATTAGTTAAATTTTGTTCTCATAATTGAAATGTTATGAAATCTTATCAAACTATGTGCAGTAAAGTCTGTTTGACGGTTAATACTAAATGTCACATTTTATAAGAAATAAGGTCAAACTTCATTTCATAATGAAAATTTCATGAACAGAGTGCAAAGAATTCCTGGCGTAATGATACTGTTTAAAGTTTAAACATCATGAAATTTATTTCACGATTTGTGCGAACGAAGAAATATCGTTTATACTTTGAAAGTAGAATACATCAACGTTGTTTTTATAGATCACGTTTTCTTTCTTTCTCTTCTGATAACTATGAGAAAAACAAACGCAGAAAATGCAACAATTTTACCTCAATTCACAATTGAAGGTTCACGGAAGAGTAACGAGTTGTATTTATCTTGTTTGCTTTGACACACGAGTTGATGCTCATAATTTTCATGCTCCTACATATTTCTAAAGTGCACTCGTTTTTTTTATTCTTTTCTTCTCTATAATATATTTTGTTTTTCTCGTTCACCGCATAGCAATAACATCAATGCACAGAAAAACAAATTCAAAATATGGAGTTCTTTATTTTTTCAATAAAATTAGCCTTGTCCCAGATTTAAATTGAAAAAGAAAGAAAACAAAAACGGAAAGAAATTGTTGTGATATTTAATACGCGTAGCATGAAAAAAAAATCGACACTCAGCTTCGACAAAGACCTGAAACAATTACGATTAAATAAAGAATTTTCATGTAATCACGTAAACTTTTCCTTTTGGATTGGGAGAATTTCAAATCGTAAAAATTGAAGAAAAGAAAAAAAATCATTAAACACCGTCAACAAAGCTGAATTTGTAATTTGTGACCTGGACTTTACGATCGCTTTTGTATGAAATGTTTCTGCCGCTTTGGTATTCTTGTATATTTTCCTCATTTAAAACATACGAGACATGTAATTATATGGCAATGTGTGCTTGTAAATGAACTAAATTAATGCCCTTTTCATCGGCAGTCATTTAAAACTTGTTCCGAAGCAAGTTATAAGGCGATTAAATATTTCTCAGGATCATGTTCATAAATCTGTCAAGCCTCGAAGGACTTTCGAGTTCAAGTAGCTTGTGGATGATCATTTTTAGTCTGGAAACAAACCGCAAATTCCTTCCTGACAACCTTAAAAAAGCTTTTATTATTATATGTACTATTTTATGTGCCACGCTTCAGCTGTGACTAAGACATCAACAATATCCATGAATGTAATAAGTATTAATTAATAAATTTACGTTAGCAAATTTGTGTCGGTGATGGTGTTCATAAAAATTACCATAATTAATGATAAACAAAATTGATAAGCTTCTTCTACACCTTTTTGTATTGAAAGCCTCTCATTTAAATATATACAGTTTTAATGATGTTTAGTCTACGTACTTATTAAGATTTGCGATCAGTTGTTGTAAATTAAAATGTTGTTAAGAATTTAAAAAGTATCTTAACAATAATTTTAATTTTATCAATTTAAATTTTAAATAAAAAGTAATAAAAAATATTATTGCATTTGTGCTGTGATATTATTATTGTGGTTATTATCCACTTTTTCTTTTGATAATTAAACTGAACTTTTCCGAAGTGTTTGGACGATTTGGTATGTGTTATGGAAATATTTTTTTATAGATCTTTCAATAAGTAAGTTCTTCAACAACAAACTGTTTCTTTTTGTGACTGTTTGTTTTACAAGTGTGATCGAAGACAATTGAATAATTTTCATTGTTCGATTAAAAATAGGCACGCTCAATATAAAATGCTTCATTATGATGCAATAAGAGAGAACTGAAATAATTCGGTAAACGAAAGGAATCAACAATACTAGGCATACACCTGGCTTGCTCACCGGCTTGCTCGGCTCACCTTTTTTCTCTGGCTCACCAGCTCAACTCAGCTCACCTTTTTTTTCAGCTCACCCGGCTCAGCTCAGCTCACTTTTTGTTCTCTGCTTGCTTGCTCGGCTCACCTGTCTGGATATTTGTCGGCAGTGAGCCTGGCTCACCTGGATATTTCTGCTAGGTGAGCTGGCTTACCTTGGTGAGCTGGCTCACCTTGTCCCGTGACTCTGTATGGTCCCCCCTTCCACTTGTGGCGTCACTTTTCATCGACCCCAAAAAAAACGAAAAAAATGGGGTCGATGAAAAGTGACGTCACAATTTTTAACTTGTGACGTTATTTTTCATCGACCCCCAAAAAAAAAGAAAAAAAGGGGTCGATGAAAAGTGACGTCACAAGTGGAAGTGGGGACAATGCAAAATTACAGCTCACAAAGGTAAGCCAGCTCACCTAGCAAAAATATCCAGGTGAGCCAGGCTCACTGCCGACAAATATCCAGACAGGTGAGCCGAGCAAACAAGCAGAGAAGAAAAAGTGAGCTGAGCTGAGCCGGTGAGCCGGAAAAAAAAAGGTGAGCTGAGTTGAGCCGGTAAGCCGGAAAAAAAGGTGAGCCGAGCAAGCGGCTCACCCACACCTGAGCAAGCCAGGTCTATGATACTAGGTTCTGCTTCCGAGAAGATTTGAAAGAATTCCGTTCAATTAAAGTAATTTTTTGGGTGTAAACGTAACTTAACGAGCCTCGAGGGTTTGAACACTTTTCAATTTCTTCATTTTTTGACGAATCACCGCGACAAAGAAGAATATTAAAGAAACTATTTCAATGAAATCTACTTCTTATGCTTTAAGAAGAAGATTCGAGGTTTGGCGTTACGGAGCCGTACATCACGAAAACATTTCTTTCTACATAATTGTAAATTCAATGAACGGCGTTAGCGTTAGTGGTTCGGAAGCTCATGAAATTTGCTTTTGTTTTAATTCGTTAATACTCACACCGACCACTCATGGCTTCAAAAATGTATCAGATATCATTAATATCAAAAGTTATGGTTTGAATTGAAATGTTTCAGGAATTATTAAAAACAAATAGAAATTACAACATCTTATCATTTGAATATGTTTATTATTCCGAAAAAATGCCATAATTAAATTTAAGTTTCAATTCAATCTTTCAAAGTCATTCCTACATCATCATCTTTCACGTTGTCGAAATGAAAAGATCAAGAAAAAAAAGTTTCACAACTTTCGAAGAGCGAAATGAAATAAAATTCAAATCAAGCAAAAGTCAAACAACGCATTGTTATTACATTTAAGACTTCCTTTTACGGCATATCCGCCACGTAACAAAAACTTATAGCTGAGTATTAAAATTATTTTCTTTGGAGAACAATGAAGAAGTTTCGAAGCCAATTATTTTACATATATTTTATGCCCTCTTTCATTCGTTGTTGTCTTCATGTTTAGTTTAACATAGTTCGCTTATTTATTTAATATTTTTTTCTTCTAAAATGATGTTTTCATTTTCATTAATATTTCGAGGGAATAAGAAATTTTTGGGAAACAAATAATTAGTACCTTATGTGTCGAGTTGTATTAGGGTTTCTATAGCTAGAGAAGATCAAGTAAGTTTGTTGACTTTCATGAAACGAAGAAAACAGATTTCTTGAACATATTTCGATGAGTAAAAAAAATAAACAAACAAAAACAAATTTCAAACATCGCTCTTCGCGATTGTGGAAGAATTTTGAGAAAGTTTACAGAAATTAGGATGATGAAGATCTCGAGGCCAAACACCTTAATAGCTTTGTACATCATGTATTGCTCTGTTCGCTATCCTATGGAGATGTAATCCACAACAGCTTAGATAATGAAGTAACAATATTGTATATATTTTCCATAAACGCGGCCAAAGTGAATGGCTCGCTTCAACTACAACTTTAACAATAGCTTAAGCATTTTATTTTTGACGGTTTCCAAATGAGATCATTGCAAGCATTAGATGTGTTTTTTAAGTCGCGAATAAAACTCATGGAATAATAGTTTTAAAAACTTGATTTAGACGATGTGGAGAGTTGGTAAGCAACAACATTTAATTAATGATTTGTTTCCAATGTGTCTCCCTTACTACTTCAACACTAACGTGAACGATCGTAAAATTATTTATCGCACGATTGTTTTGCTGATGGAATTGTTCAAGACAAACACAAATCAGGTGCTCAACGGGATTTCATTCTGAAACTTTACTATTTGAATTTGAGTTGCGACTCTGCGCAAGTTTGTTAAGTTAATACTCTCAACGTTTTAAATTACTTTTCACCCAAATTTGGGAAAAAACGTTTCGACCAAAAACTTTTCTTTAATTGTGTTCGACACAATGTTGGTGTGTGGAAACTTTTATTTTTGTTAGCTTGAGCTCGTAAAACAATGGAGATCTCTCTAGAGTGTCTATTAAAATAAAGGCCAAACATTTTTTGACGCAAATAGACGCATAACATTCATTTCTCATTCGTCAGATTTGATTAACGGACGATAAAATCTTAAAATATTAAAATACTGTTAACTTCTCACGAATTTATTTTTCTTAATACTGACATTCTTCATCTAAATCGCAAAAAAGAGAAAATAATGGAAACATTGAAAGAAGCAAAAACTCTTCTTGGATGTTTCATAATGAAATTTGATTTCAACGAGTGACTTCTGGTAATTTTACTTCTTTCTATTCTCACTGAAACATGAAAAAGCAAATCGTAAACCCGAAACCAAATATGTGAAAACGCGTCATCATATCACAATGAAGTTTCGCACGTGAACCTTTTCTCGAACTCTTCTTTCCATCCTTCTTTTTACGGTCGGGAATTAGACAGAAGCTTTTGATTAAATGAAAACAATCAAATGGAGAGCGTTTTAATGACCTCTGGGTGAAAAATTCTTTTGTTTCATGAATGATTTAAAAGATCTTGACGCTTATGAGATTTCATGTTTGTATGTTTAACATTAATTGACTGTCTTGATTGTGATATAACATTGATTTTATAATAATCAGAAGGAATTTATTTGAAATATGTTTCAGACCATGAACAAATGATAAAAATCCTTAAAATATATTGGAAATGAACAACGTGCTCTTATGGATCGTTTAAAAAAAAGAATTTCAGCTTCGTGGGAATTTTTTTTTCTTCTCACTTTTTCTCTTTAGCATGTTTATTTGTTAATCTGAATGGGAGTCTGAATAGTCAAACAACAACCAATACAGAATGTTTCATTGAGAAGTAAAATTTTGGAAGAATAATAAGAGACGAATTATTGAAATGTGACGGAGAAACATGAATTATAGAATTTCAAGCTAAATAGTCGTCGAACGAAAGCTAAACCAAGATAACAAAACAATATATGCATAACTCATAAAGAAACAAGGAAGTGAGAAAAAAAAATGTAGACAACTATTTGGAGATATGATTTGTAGAGTGTTAGAACATAGCATAGCATAAAAGACACAGAAGAATCTTTTAACAACATAAATTCTTTTCTTTTTTCAATAAATTCTTTTCATATTTTTTTCATCGTCTGTCTTTTGTGACCGAATCCTTTTTTTCGTTCCAAGATACTTTATGCTACAATTTTTATGAGATTTTTCTACTCTTCATTCGTTGATAATCCATGACAAATAAATCTTTTTTCTGACGTTTCTTAGGTACGTGTCTAAGATCTTCCCATTGACTAGAAGTTTAGATATGCGGAGAATTTGCACGCATGACGAGATTAGCTCATTTGTGACCACACGAAATTTAGCAGAAGCAGACAAAAAAGAGAAACTCTTCTTTTATCGTCCATTATAATGCACAAAAACATGCATGTTTATGTTTCATACTTCTATGCATGTTTCATCTTCAACAAAATTCTCAAGCAGTTTGTAATAACAACAACAGCACCAAATAATACTAATAAAAATAAAAGTATCATTGATATTTACAGAATCGACCTCCACTTGTCCTTCGTTCCTTCGTTTTGCGATAAGCAAGAATAAAAGATGAGAAACTTTAAGGGCACTTTGAAATACGAGAATATTCTTCGGTCTTACATCTTAGTTTTAAGCGAGAATGAACACATAATGTGTATAGTTACCGAAGTTTAATATTAAAATAAAGGAATATATCTAATTGAAAAAATGTCTTCGTTCGCAATAATTTGATTTTCTTTCTAAAATTAGAAATTTGGTCCTTTAAAACATAGTTGACATTAGTATAACTGAAATTGAATAATTCACGTTACTGAATAAGAAAAAAAGACGAAAAGAAAAGGTCAAAAGCATCCACCCACAACTTGGCATTTTTCGTAATAATTGTGAACTTTGTGAGGACAGTTAAACACCCACAAGAACCAAAGTCTACAAACACATCTAAACAGCGCTTCATTTCTTCTCTTCAAGTTCGCATTTCCTCTGACGTAAACGAAATATTTCATGATCTCTTTAAGTCTGGGATTTTTCTACATTGCTAGGGAAGGCAACAAATAACAGGAAGGATACATTTCCACAATCGTCAACGTGTTCATTCCCAAATAGAATGTAATAAATAAAATAAGAATATTATTTTGAACGAGCTAAGTTGCTTGTGTTGGAGTTTGCCAGTTGCGTCTGGCGTTTATTCGTCTTGTTGTTGAACACCTTGAACTTCTTGAAAACTTTGCTTCTTTCTTTCTGTTTTTTTTTCTGTACAGAGATCTGTTCGTTCAAGAGGGGAATATATATCATCACATGCATTGTTTTCCTTTTCTCTCTTTTTCTAAAGTAAAACGAGTTTACAATCATCATCTTAATTTAATGTTAAGATGTTCCACTCCATTTTTAATTATCAAGTGTTCAATTCCTAATGATGATTTTAAGAGGGGACAAACGAGGATATATGCTGAGAAAAGTTTAAGTAAAAGAAAACAAATACTCTTACACATGATGAAACGATTTCCTTCTTCGCATTCCGTGACAGTTGAGTAGAGTGAAGAAAGTAAGGAAAAAGAAGAACGAACATATCTATTTCTTTCCAATGACGAGCCCAATGTGTAAACACGTGCTCATGACATTTAAAATTTCTCAATATTCTTTTTCCCTTTTTCTTCAAGCAATTAAATATTCAACTTCTTTTATCTTTTCACCTGTCTTGTCCGGTATCAAAATAAATTTTCGAGTTGCTTATCGTCTTCATGCTTGTCGCAGGTTTCAATGTGCATTTGAAATTGTAACGCCCTTAATATTTCATCTCATAATTAACGTTGTTCATTTCACTTTCATAACTAAATTAACATTTCAACTTTTTTTCTGCAGCTTCACGCTGGTAATAACTTCATTTTCCAGGAACATGATAAATTTGTTTCAAATATTGTTGTTAATTTTTGTGAATTGTTCATCGAAAATTTATATTTTTACAAGAATAATTTTGAAACTTATTTTTAGTAGAAGATATCAAAAAAAATTTGAGCGTAAGTATTTAAGTTGCGTGTACATCTCTGCAAAGACGTTTCTTGAGGCTAATAAGACTTAATCATTCATCATTCAAACGTGCATCATTAGCTCCCGATTATATTATTTTTATTTTGCACTCTCTTGTCAATTTTTTTGTTATGCTTCTCGTTTGACTGCATCTGCCACCCCGACATAAGAATTTGTATCCATAAGAATGTTGGAAACCATCTAATCATTGCATTTTACGTCGCATGCATGAAATGATCAATCTACAGTGGTTTTGCCATGTTGACCACCCGCTGTGGAATATTTTAACTTTGTTTACGACATCATCAAACCCTCTCGATAGAATGATCACTGTACTTGAGAATCATCAAAGTGAAACCTCTTAGAAATGTTGAGAAAATTAAGACCGAAAAATCGACGATAAAACGTCACTCAGACCCGATCAAACCAAAGAAACAAACGAACATTCTTTTCTTTTAATATTTGTGTGTTAGTTATGATGGTGTCTTCTTAGTTTCCTTCAGAAAATTTCTTTACGCTCATTCCTTTTTTTCTTTCTTGAAATCTAAAGACGCATCACAAAAGGCAAAACTCTTAAATATAATTTGGACTCAAATCAACTGTGTGTTGTGCTGTGTATACTTTTTAATATATTTTTTTCTCCTTCATTTCTGCACCGACAAATTTCTCAGAATTTCATTTGCTCTGAAATATTCTGTTTCTTTTTTTATATTTATTTCTTCAAACTTCTTTTTCGAGTATAGAGATGAAGAAAAGGACCCGATTAATGAATTCTTCTTTTTGTTATTTTACGTGGATATTATTACGAAAACATTCAGTAACATCTTTTTTCAAGTTTTGAAATCTCAAGAAATAATTTTGGATCCGATTAAAGAATAAATAAAAAAAGTTTAAGAAATATCCAAAGTTCAGGATATCAAAGAGATTTTTTCGGTATCTGACATTCGACCACCTTCGGTTTAAACTTCCTCAAAACTCGTGCAACAAGAGTTTGAAAACTTCAAAATGGTATTGTAACATGGACAACGTTCTCACTTAATTTATCTACATCGCGTTCCAAATCAACATCTTATTATGATTCCTCTCTAATGTCATCGCTTCTAAGACACAAAAACGTAAGAGTTTATTTTCTTTTTACGAGACGTTTTAAATCTGACATGAAGGAAGCTTGTGTCCGAGTATAATTCATACTACATATATCAACATATTACAAATTGTTTTCTTATTCATTCGTCTTCAAGTCTGTTAAAAAAAAATTTTAAAGTTATTTAATTCCATTTTAGGTCTTTATAATTTAATTTTAATAAAGGGTTGTTCGAAGTTTAGTTATAACTTATAACTAAATCAGCGAACAAAATTGACGGAACTTTTAACTTAGTTATGCTGCGTCAATTCAAAATTCTTCAATCCTACAAAAGATGAGGCCAAGGGAAAGAAATTATTTTAGATAAATTTTGATATTTCTCTGTGTTTTGTGTTTTTGTAGAAGATTTATAATGTCTGGAGTTCTTTCTTCTTTTTATTAGGTTTATTTTCAAACACCAGACGCAATGCAAGTTTAAACAGATATTTTATTAATCAGAATAGCATTAATTGATTTTCTAGAAGATAAAGCTAAGGGATGATTTTGTGGGAAATAATAAATGTTACAATATTTGTAAACGTTTCAAAGCTATAGATACAGATTTCTATCATTTCTATTTGATTATTTGTTCTAATTTAATATTAGAGTAAGTTGTTATTATTATGTGTTGAATAGCTTCCAATCTCATATATGTCCAATCTCATCGCTAGTTTTTTCTGTCTTTATGGAAAAGATAAAATCCGAAAATAAAACATAAATGTGAAAGACATTGAAAGAATTCTGTTCACGAAGAGATAAATAAGAAAAGAAAAAGAAATATTTAAAGCATCAAAAAATAATTTGTGAGGCCGTAAAGATTATATTAATATTTACTTGTTATTTATTATGCAAAAAAAGAAAAGTGAATACCAAAGAACTATCTCTATTGAGATAAAGAATGAGACTAAATCAATTTCTGTTTTATTACCGAACAATTCTTGCATCATTCTTGAAATAATCCGCATGCTAATATTTTGTGATAAATGCCGTATAATCTCCGTATGAACGAAGTTTACGTCGTCTTTCCTTGCTCTTTATACAAAACAACGAAGACATTTGAATTATAGGAATTATTTTAAAATCAAATATTTGCCAAAACATAGAAATTGGAAGAAGATTTCTTTGTTCTCTTCCACTATTTTCATGGAAAAGATAAGGAAAAACTTTTTATTTTTAAAATATTTCAATTTAAATCCTGAAAACTTTTGTCACTAAACTGAATTTAAGCGGGCACGCTATGAAGAAATTTTCGAGGAAGTTGCAATGATAAACTTTTCGATTTCATTCTTCTACTTCAACTTTTGTTTTGAGAGGAAGTGTCTCCTTTATTTTATTTTTCTTTTTCAATGTAAATTTTGTTATTAAATTTATAAACAAATAGAAGAGGAAATTTCAAGATGCATTCTTTTACCGCCGTTTCAATGATTTTATTGAAATTAATTAAATGATTTGCTACAATTAATGCATTCAAAATAATTATTGGTGAGTCTTTATTATAATTAATAAACATAGAATTTCTTTCAAAAATCGATTCATCCCAAAAAATTCCAATCAGCTAATCTTAATCACAAAATGTGTACAAATAATAACATTTCAATATCTGTTTGTTGATGTTACAAGCAATAGAATTAATGTTAAGCTATTATTTGGTTTCATAAATGAACCCTAAAGATAGAAAGGAAGTTCATATAGAACATGGCTACCAAACCAATGCTTAAATGTTGCACGTTCTCTCGTTCTCTTCTTTTCATTTTTTAAACATTATTAAGTAGTTTAATATATGTGTACATTTATGTTTTGTTTTTTCCACTACATAAAATATCAGATAATAATCACAAGGAGAAGTACAACCAACGACAAAGAAACAAACAGAAGAAAAATCTGTAAAAATCTTTCTCAAGTGCGCTTATCCGTGAGCATTCCACATATATAGATACCTATTTAGTCTTAAAACCGCTCAGGCCAATAATTACTCCAAGAATTTTCCCATTCATTACTTTTCTCTCCTCATCTCTCGCCACCGAAGAATGCTCCGTCTGTTCATGCATCGGAAATATTTTTCGTATCTTATAAAAGCCCATATTTAATACATATATTATATTTATATATTTATCTATATGTACTGAAGTGAGTGAGCTAAACAGATACATTTAAAAGAAAGAGAAAGAGAACAGTAACTCGCTCGTGCCAATTGATGATACGAAGTAAAGAAAAATATTGTGTGTTTAGTTCGATTTAAGCTTTTTCTTCTTCGTTATATGGAATCGGAATGAATGTGATGAGTATTTAGGGTCAAATCTTCTTATGTTGCACTTGGTTTGATTCTCGCAATGTGAAAAGAAGCAACAACACATGAAACCTTATTGTCGTTCGATAATTTCTCGAACCCTATCACGTCTCTTGTCCTGTTTCTTATAATTTCTCATCGACGTTTTCAGAAAAAAAGAAAGAAAAAATTCAATTTCACAAACGAAGTAGTTTTCTCTCCCTTTCATGAGTACTGTTGCATGGTATTTCAGCATAGTGTTGGTGTCGATTGGATTTTTCTTCATTCTCTTCTCTTTCTCATGCCTTATTTATTGTTATTTTATTATATTATTAATACAATAATACTTATCGGTTAAACAGCTGGTATGGTTTTTTCTTTCCTCTTCTTTCATCTTACTTGTTCTTTTGCCTGCTTTATGCCTATTTTTATTTCATTCGATACATGCTCGCTTTTCTTCGCTTAGGCCGAACAGAAATAGATGGTTTTTGATTATGATGCAGTTTTGTGTGTTGTTCTCGAAGTGGAGGGAAAATAGAATGCTTATGCTTTGCTTACATAGCTCTACATATAATAGTTATAAATTCAATAAATAAGAACACGGAGGTCATTATTGACTTGGTTGTTTTCTTTGGCATCATCGCTTTGAACTTTCGTTGTTTCGAAACTTTTTATTCAATAAAATACTAGGTAATTTTCTTGTTTCTCTCAGTCACACTGATCTACAAACATTTCGTTAAATTTAATTAAAGCGAAATAAGATATTAAGAGATCTTTCCATCTCTCTTTTACACCCGACTTATTTCCATTCAATCTCTTGTACACATATATGTATGTATAAAAGTTTTGAACAAAAGAAAAACTTTACTTACTTATAGAAAACTTCTTCTTTCCTACCCGCAATTTCTTGATGATTTTGCTTCTATATTGAACGGGAATTTTTATTTTCTTATTATTCTCGCAATATTTTTATTTTGTTCTTCGCTTTCCGTCGTCTTACGGTTCAGCTTTTCTTTCGTTAAAAGTACTTTTAAGTGGAACATAAGGAACTTGTGAGTAGCAAGATGTTCTAATGATATTGAAGCCTTCGACAACGTTTGCAAATGGAGACAGAAAATGTTTTATGTGCAAGAACTGGAAAGGCGCTGAGGGAAGAGGAAAAATCAATAAAGTGATTTCGGGAGAAGATTCATAAACTCCTAGGTGAAGTGGAATGAAAGAATTTTCAGAGCATGTTGAAATTTTCTTCTAGATATTCACTCAAGAATTGAAAACCTAAGTATTTATGTTTCTGGTGATGGTAAAAAGAGAAGTTCAATCTATATCAAGATATTTTATGAAAGCATGCCTTTGTATAAGCTAGATCAATGTTTCATATTTGCTTTTCTATTTGATGAAACCAAAGATTGAGAAAGAAAAAAAATTGTGACATTCATTATGAATGCTTGTTTTTATCACTTTGAATAACTGCTGGGTTAATGTTCCTATATTTTCTCGATCTTTATGCTCATCTTATTCTCATCGCTTCACATCTTCATGTTTCTGTTTTGAGCATCGACAACAAGAGAATTTTGTTTTCTCAAGTTCCTTTCAATGATCGCTTGATGTTCTTCTTACTTACAATAACGTCAAGGTATTTATTTTAATTCGTTATATTATTTTTTTTACTTCTTCAAGAAGAGCGAATTATGTTGCTTTTTTCTTCGTTCACTTTGATGAACTGTTTCATTCTTTGCCAATTAAAATTTACATCTTGATGATCTCTGAGTAAATCCCCAATTAGAAGATACCTCCTCTCCTATAAAATAATGACTGCTTCGCAATTCATTTCCTAATCATTACGCTTACTCGTTGCAAACTTGCCTGCTGACGTGAGGCAGAAAATCGTAAATGAAATAAGTTCATTTAAAGTGTGCTTTTCCTCAACGCTCCCGAGGCAGTATTTAACTAATAAAAATTATGATCACAAGTAAAATGACGATTTTCCACTTCGTTTTGAATAAACTTTCTGAACTTGAGCTTCAATTTATGCTGTGATCAAACGAACGTTAAGCAATTGTATTACAAGAAACTTAAAGAATGAAGAAATAACTGGAATAAATAATTTTGTTGATTGTGTGTACGAATTGAAATGGGTAGGTTAATTAAGAATACGAAATAATTGGAGTTCGTTCAATCCCTATTTTTATATTGTTGTTGGGATAGAATGAAAGAGTTCATTATTTTCACATAATTTCGTTTTGAGCTTGACTTCGGTGTATAAAAAATGTCTTTCGCGGACAACATACTTTACAATTTACGTGCTAACCGGAAATAAAATTCTATTTTTATAGATTTTTTTTCTTTTTTATCGCTTGTTCGATGTTAAAAGTAAGCTGGAAAAGAAGAAAAGAAACAGAAATGAAGAAACTATCTATCTAAGTGTTATTCGTGCCTATTGTTCTTCTTTTAACACAAGTGTATATCTTTAAAAGATTTCTCTTTCCAGTCCAGCAAAGAAATTTTTATATTGTTTTGAATTATAGATCGAAAGACGAAAAAAAAATTTTCTATCTCGTCGTTTACTGTGAATGTTTTGAGCACAACATAATTTATCAAGCTTAAATTGAAATGAGTCGAAGCAAATTAAATTATAAAGACGACTTAAAGAAAGAGTGGAAGGAAATATTATGCACTGGCATTTTTCAAACATAAAATCATTTATGCAAAATTTTTTTTTTCTTTTCGAGTCGAAAATATGCAAATGAAACTAAGGATGGATGGATATGTGTGGATATTTTTGGTCGCTTCATCTGGTTTACATTTCATCTTCATCATCATCATCAACTTCAATCTGGGCAGATCAAGAGCGTAAAGCAATAAACCGTTAATAAATGTGACGCAAACATACATTCCGTTGAGGTTTCAACCTCATTGAATGAAAATAAAGAAAAGAAAAACTTCCGACTTTCGCAACAAACCAAAAGTTCAACAAGCTCAGACCATGGAATTTTCTACAACGAGAAGAAACAATTTGTTTTCGTCAAATGACAATCGAAGAGAAGACAAACGACTGGAGCAAGAAAAGGAAAAATAACATCAAGCGATTGTTAATAAAAAAACAGTCCGTGGAAACTTCGCATAATTATTGGCGTAAAATTGATAATTAAACGCACCATTCTTTCGTTTTTTTTTTTCTTCTCCAATTTCTTTCCATGTTTTTTGATGAAAATACGCAAAGCATCATGTGAAATAAAAATTTACAATTAATTTTTTTTTTGTTCAATGAAAAAAGAAAGAAAGAACAGAGGAGAGTATTCGACAATAAACGCGGTGAGGAGAATAAAGAAATGAATGGGAATCTTTAATCATGTAGCCAAAACATTAGCGAGCTTTAGAAGAGAATTAAGACTCAAAATATAACTGAAGAAGTAAAAAAACGTTATTTTATGATCGACAATGGGTCCAATGGTGATCCACACCGACAATTCCGCTAGAAGTTAAAACTACGACACAACTTTTGGTAGATGCCAGAAATCTTTTAAGCGGCGTTCTTGTATTGCTTTTTTTCATTTTACAATCATCACATCTTGTTTTAAGAAGTAGAATTTATTCTATTTAAGTTTCAATCTATTTCAAATGAAACTGTGTAAATGTCTACTTGTCAAAAACTTTTTTTATCGCTACCGTACTTACAGATTTTATAATTTCTCAAGTTTACTTGACATGATCATTGATCTGAAATTTTGATGCTTTTGCTTAAATTTTATATTCTGCCAGTTCTAAAAAGAAAAGAACTTTGATACTGCCATTTTTCATTATACTTTAAGAATATATGAGGGAGAATGAATCTGAATGGAGTAATGTCTATTTTAAGATAAAGATACAAACATCTTTGATGCATGAAATTCATATTGACCAGCAATCTGCTATTATTTTTAAAGTTTAGAAAGAAGGAAATTTTTTTGAATCTTTTGTCATTGTTAACAAACAGAAGTTAGGAACTCAATTAACTTGAGTATCTAAATATAATTAAAATTGCATGAAAATTCTTTACTTACTCATTGCAGTGATCCAAAAGATTTCTTCAGTTTGCCCTCCACAGCTCGACGTCATTATTCAAAACACATAAGAAGAATGATTTGCTGGAATACTGCAATCAACAAATGAACATACAAATCAAAGTTTATTTTGAGTTCTTCTCTTTATATTTCCTTGCAAGTGGGGCGGCTAAAGAAAAAGTCTTCTTAATTTTTTTTTCGTGAATATTGAGGCCTATTAATAGTAGTTCACAAAATATGACGGACGAAAGTTTCGAGCTCGATTTAAAGTAAATCCAGATAATGTGCTTCGCAGTCACTCGTGAAGTTATGTTTCTTCTCGATTCTTTCTCTTTCCTGCACGCAAGAAAGATCAAGATCGCACACAGACTGTGTGTATGTGTATGATGCGAGGAAAGAAAATTAAAATTCCAGATTGTCTATAATTATTTCCCAATTAATTGCCACACACTACAAGCAGAACCACATACAGATCCAGTTCAACGGTTTGAATTATGGAATATTCTCGTTTTGATATCTGTTTTCAGATTCTGTTCTTTTTTTCGTGCTCTTCCGAGTGAGAAAATCAATTATTTATAGATATTTGATCTGTATTCTTTTTTTTGTTTTTCTTTTAAAATTTTCGCTGTGTTTTCACTTGATACAAAAATGCTTAGTTCACACTTTATTATGCAGCAGATCTTTTCGAAATTGTTTTAAGTATTCAAATCGGAAATTTAAGAAGTCTTAAGGTTTTTAAGTTTGCTTGTTTTTTTTCTGTTGCTGCTTTTGATCCAATTTTCTTCAGCTTGATGTCACACAAAATGTCTGGAAAGATAGAAGAAAAAGAAATATTAATTAATTAACAATACTTATTTCTTCGTCCCCTTATCAGTGTCTGATATAGCACAAACGAATATTTTCTGATATCTCTATACATACATATGTAGATATATGCTAATTATATTTGATATAGTTCGAAACCCAATCAACCTAATAAAGTTCATTCACTTCAAATGACACAATACATATTAACATTGTTTCCATAAGTCCGGTTCATTCGCACTTTCCGCCACTAACCAGCCCTCTTCAAACATTCATAAAACTTAGATATAAAAAATGTTGTTGTTCAGTGCTACATGGATCAACCTTTTTCCCTTTTCAATTGAAATCTATTCGTTGTAAAATACACTTATGATTTTGTGAAAGCAATTGAACTGTGACTTATGTTATATTTTTTTTATTAAAAAACTGTAAATTTATATAATCGCGATGCATCGGTTACGTTGATCATAATTTTTGAGGTTATCATGTTTCAGAAAGATAAAAGTCATGATTTTATTGTCTTAATTTATTTCCTAATAACTCGTGAAACCATCATGTTGATTCAATTACAATGTGTTGCTTAAATTTGTTATACCATAACATGTTCAAAATCTGACAGAAATAGCCTAAATTTATGAAAATTAATTACGTCGTTTTCTCAAAAAAAAAATTAACCAATCTTGTTTTTTCAACGCTGCTGAGATGATGAAAGTTTATGATAGAAAACAAATCTGGAATTTATGCTCAGATCTTCCGTGCTGACAACCAGGGAAATAGCAGTCCGAGTGCCTCGTGATTTATAGACTTTAAGCATTGACAATTCCAGCTTATAATTTTGAATCTGGGAACAAACATGCAAACAGTCACACAATCTTTAGTTAAATTGAAGTTATTAAATAACTTACATACCATTGAGAAAATGTCAAATTTTTAAAAGAGTTCAATGAGATTGTATGCAATTATCTACTCTTAATTTCTATTCCCTCCATTTAAATTTCCATTTATCTCATACTGCATAGTCTCATAGTAGATAATAAAGAAAACGAAGGAAAAATATGTTTAGCTATTTTACTAGGAAATAAATTTTTCTTGACTTATGAGCTGGGAGATGTTTTGAGTGTCAAAGTCAAAAATGAAGAAGGGGAAAAATGGAAAAGAGAATCTGAGAATGAAAACGAACAAAAGTCGAGAATTTATTGCCATTCTATTTTTGAAGGAATGAAAAATACGGTGCGCGCAAGATACAAGAACACATTCTGAACGAGCACTTTATGTCTATTTATTTTATATTTTTTCCACATCTTCGTTGTGTATAAGAAATAAGAATGTAAAATTAGGTTTCACTCATTCCACCTCATCATCGTTGTCGTCGTCAATGTTTTAAGCTGCCGAGTCGAGCCGAGCCATTAAAAGCCACAAATATCATTTTGTTATGAATTAAAATAGCTTAATGTGTAACATATGAAAAATTAACATGATCATCGCCAATGAGATGCTCGATGATGATGATGATTTCTTTCTTTCTTCTTTCCACGTTCGACGTAAAAATGTGTATAGATACTCTCACATATTTGCAAAACCAAAAAATTAGAAACACTTTTGATGATGCATAAAGCAGAAGACACTTCTGACTTCTTTTCTCTTATTATTTTTTGGCATGAAAAACAAATACATTATGAATAATGATTCTGTCATTAAATGCTTAGCTATATGTTCCCATTACAAGGTACGATGTCGACAAATTGATGACAAAAACTATTCAAAACAAATTAGCAAATAGAGCAAGTTATCTCATCTTAATGAAATAAAACATATCATGGAAGGGACTAAACTTTTTGATTTCTTTGGGGATCGAAAATTCACTCCATTTCTTGGAGTGATTCTTGTGATTAAATTGTAATAAAAAAAATCAATTATACATCTACTTCCTAAAAATAATTTCTCTCTTTTTTTAATCTTGATTAATCTTTTAATTGTTGTACAAAAAGAATAACAAGAAGAGAGCAAATCAAATTTATTTGTTCAGTAATTTCGTTTTTGTAATGTATTTTTTTTTCTTGATTCACTCGATGTTGAACAACAACTTTATTTAGATAAATATAAAAACTAATAATATTTATTTAAATATAACCAGAATACAATCTTCGATGGGTATGAGAGTGTTTAAGCTACACTTTCTCAGTAATGAAAAAGATACTTTTTGGTAAAAATAAACATCGCTTAATAATAAGGAAAAGTGTAAGAATTTTTATGTGTCAGATCACCTAGAAACGGAAAATCTCTCTCTTCATTATAAATCTATATTTATATTTCAATATCCGAAAAACACGAAACGCTAAAATCATCTATCATCACATTACACTTTCGTTCGATTTAATTCGATTGGAAAAGCTGCTAATTCTTATTCTGAGAATAGAAACTTAATATAAATTTATGAGGTTGCGCAAAAATAAGACAAATATTATCGATTTTCGTGTGTTATTTTTTCGATCGATGGAAAGTAAAATTCTGGCGAATTTTCAATAGATATTTATTCTCAATTAATTGATTCAATAGGCAACAACAAATGATCTGTAGCTCGTCGATATTTGCATCTCTTCAGGCTTTCCTTTTCAAATATCAAACACATGCTTGCAAGTGAAACAAATGCTTATAAAATGCATAATTAAAAGTAAAATATACAAATTTAAATACTTCATTCAACTTAGTTTTTGTTTTTGTCTGACTTCTTCTTGAATGAGTCTCAAATAAAATGCAGTCATATTTTTCAGGGTAGAATCATTGAATCGTTTAGAGAATTCACTTTAAAAATCGTATTTTATGCACTGCAATCTGAAAACAAGAAAATATAAACGAAAAATGTTTAAGAGGCATAAGAATGAAAATAAATTGGCTCAGAAAATTTAAATTGTAATTAATTAAAAACATTTCATGGCTGACATAGTTATATACACAACTGACGCAGAAAACAAAAAAGACTTTGTTTGGAACACGAAACAGATTAACATTTAACCTTAACTTTTAGTTGCAATGTGCAATTTTTAGAAGCACACGTCAAGAAAGCCGAAGAAGAGAGAAAGAAAGAAAACTTCATCATCCGCAGCCAGACAAAAATGTTACGCAGATTCTTTCTGGTGTTTCACACGCGCTTGATTTTTGTTTACTCACAAACTCACTTCGACAGTATTTTCAATTTGAAGCATCATCACTTCGTTTAGTTGTGAGATTAGTGGCAAGAGCTATGAAGTAAAGAAAAAAAAAATTGCTCAAGCGATTGAGGGAAAAAATTATAAACAAATTAATATTCTTTCGCTTTCGCCAATAATTTCATTTATCGCCTAGCGATTTTGGCTTGGTGGACTGAAACAAGACAGAAGATGATTTCCCACGTCATGACGTCAGCGCATTTTCACATTTTTATTCTATTTTTACAATCGATATTGAGGAAAATAGCAATTTAATGTTGGAAAGAAGAAATTGAATAAAAGTATAAAAGTGTATTTACAATTGATAAACTGAAAATATTCAACTTAATTAATTAATTCAATTAAGATTTGATTAATCTTCAATAATGCTAGATTGAATTCATTGATTTAAATAAATTTAAAATTCCTTTCTTATTATGTAAAAAACGTTTCTCTCCTTCTTTTCGCAATCGCAAGAAGCTCTTTTTCACGTCCTACGTTTAAATTATTGTTTAATGTCTTTGGTGTTTATTTTTGTACGCTTTCTGTAATCGAGAAGCAAAGTAAAAAAAACAACATCTTTAGATGACAGATTTAATTATACGCAAGGAAATTTTTAAAAAGAAGAGAAAGGAAAAACTTCAAAGCTTTTTTTCGTGCTTTTTTAAGATGAATGAAATACTTAGACAACCGAATTTTAGGGAAAAGAAGAAAAGTATCTACTTCATTGCTCATTGTCTTGTTACACTTGTGATGCAAAAAAACTATAAACCAATAAAGCAACAAAGAGTGAGAAGGAATGGAACAAATTCGAAGGAACTAAAGACGAAGGTAAACGACCTTGACGCTCTGCTTCTCTTTCTCCTTCGGGGGCATGATGACCAATCTTTTTCAAGCAAAACGAGCTGACTTTGCATCTCTTAGTATTCATCTCGTTCACTTAAGAAAGAATCCACTAATGCACATATTTGGTGAATGTGTTTTGTGGATTGGATGTGAAATAAGTTGTAGGATTCGAGGGCAAGTACAGAAAAGCAAGACAAGAAAGAAAATATATTGGAAGAAAAAGAAATATAAACGAAATGACTTTGAATCTGGCAGAATGGAAAAAAGAAGAAAAACAAATAAAATCCAACGTAAGACAAGCAAGCGGAGAACTTGTGCAATGCAATTTTGATGAGGTTTTAAAGGTCTGAGTCTCAGATCGGGGAATCGAACAAAAAATGCATTCACAACTCGAATATCTACATTACATTCAAGTTTTCCATATTTTTTTTATTCTTCGAGTTACAGATATATCTATGATATAAGCAGAAATGGAACATCTCTCGTGCATGATTTAAAGAGACACGTTAGGTTTTATTTTGATCAGTAACATCTTAAGAAACTTCCTATTTATTTCGGACATTTTCAAACTAAATTTTGAAGAAACTTTTACTACACAAAAAATTGTACCGTAAAAAAAAAGAAAACTTAAAAGAAGAACATTTTCTTTTTTCTTTTATTAAAATTCCCAACAAGTTATGGAATATTTTTCCTCGTTCCGCATCCAAATGGAATGGCAGACTTAAAATAAGGCAAATTGTAGTGACTAAAGTTTTATGAAAGAATTTTTCGCTTGTCGCTCGATACGGCTGCTTCATGCAAGTCGCGAAAAAGTTCTTTTCATCTTTTTTGCTTTGCGCGGTTTTGCACTGAACAACGAGCGTTGAAATAAAAAGGAAAACAAATAAACAAACAAGTCGTCGGGTGAAAAAAATTTATGCGATAAAAAAATTTGTCTCCATTTTTTTTCAATTCAACTCTTTAAAGTTTCTACTTTGCTGCAGTTTTCACATTGTTCTTTGCAATACTTATTTTGTATTCGTTATACTGAATTACTTACTACCAAATTTCGTGAGAAATGAAAGAATTATTGTTCTTGTTTTGTGTTAAAAAATGCAGGTCTTGTCACGTTTAACTTTTATCGGTGGGTGAGACTAAACAAAAGGAGCGGAAAATTTATGTTTTATCAAAATCTAGACAATTATTTTTGGTTAGTTAATTAAATAATAAATATCAACTCCTGGAAAGTTGGTAACCAATTATTCAGCTTTAGAAGAGACCAATCGATTTCGAGCACGCGCTATAGCACGCGACAGATGGATTTTGAGATATTTTATGTCTCTTCAGTTTGCTGCAAGACTATCGATAAGTGCATGTTGTCGACTTAACCCATTAGATGTTTTACACCTGTCAAATCATTTAAACCTGTTCATGCCTTTTTGTTTTTACGTAGATATCTACTTTCGTTTTTTTTTTCCAAACATCGCGTCATTAAGAATTTTTTCTCAAAAGCGTTTTAATTCGATTTACCAGCTTATGTACAATACATATGCAGATGATCAACGATCGATAATAAAATCGAGTCAGCATAAATATTATATTAATCGTTTTTTCAAAAAGAATTTTCAAAAGCTATTGACAGGCAAATTCCAAATATTTTTGCGCCATCTGACAATCATCAGCGGGAAGTTTGCTGCTTTGTTATTTCGTTTTATTTATAGTCGCAGTTGTTTTGTACGGTTTTGCTTGTATTTTCTTATTTTTTTCCTTTCGCGTATTCCTTCGTCGATTGGTTCCTTTTATTGAATTTCAAGAATAATTTTTATTTCAAGAAGAATGTTCAAGAAGCAAAATTTTCAAATGAATGCGCAATATAAAATGTAGCGATGATTAAAATGTTATGTATATGTTTAAATGTTATAAACTTTAAAGCGAGGTTCGATATTAAATATCGTGAATATTTTTCAATGATATTGAGGTGACGATCGAGTATATAAACTACAGATTTTTAGCTTTGCATTAGAAACTATTCGATTGACTCAAAATGTACGACTTCCAGTTGTTTTATCACACTGTCGCTATTCTTCCTACCCTCGAACATTACATTCAATGAACATTGAGATAATGAATTATGCCTTGTTATTTAACTAACAAATGGCATGCTAAATTACGAGACTAAAATTATCTTATTATTCGATGAATCTGGCATAATACGGTAGTTTTGCTTTTTTTCTTCTGTGGGGGTTTTTATTTTTATATGGAAGAAATGTTTGCAATATTTAAGGCATAATTGACTTACAGACTTTCATTTCATGAATCAAACCATAGGTAACTCACTAGTTTATCTTCATCAGTTATTAATCAATCAGTTCTGCTTACGTCAGTTATTCTAAAAATGTTCAGCTATCGTAATTCCTATCGTATCATTAAGCACTACTAAATAATTGATATTAAATATTCAATTCACATACATATATCATATATACAGATATCTTCGAAATATTTTCAAACACTAAATAAATATCTACATGTAAGCTTTCAGAGATAAGCTGATAGAAGCAAGCTTGATTCATGATGACATGGGATGACGTTGTGGAATTTTTATAAGAGTGAAAAAAAAAAAGAATTGTGGCGACAATTTTTAAATGCTGATAACAGCCCTACGATTGTATCGCCTTTTCAAAGGTATTATGTATTTTGAGTAAGTAAATAAATAACTTTGATTTCATTTAAAAACGATTTTCTTATCGTGATATTTAGAAATTACTCATATTGATTGAAGTTTATTTTTCAATAAATACAACAATGTTTTTAGGTTTTGTGTCGACTTTTATAGGGTACTAATAATTAAAAGCTGAAATTTATAATCAGGTATAAAGAAAAAACCAATATCCTTGAAGGTTGTTAAAGTAATGCACAAACATAAGCGATAAACATCTCTTTTTAGCTGAAAACTATAGCTCGACGCCTAGCCAACTGACTAATTAGATATTTCATTCTACTCGTGAACCGCGACTAATTATTGACTAGTGAAAGATTGCAATCATCAGACGTTCACCGCTGTTTCTGTTGATGTTTTGACGATGCGCAACAAAGTTAATAATGAATGCTTTTGAGAAAACAAAACAAAAATTTATTAAGGAAGTGTAGAAAATTTTTTACTTCCTATTGTCAAATGTAATATGTAGTTTAAAAAAAGTTTTTTCTCTTCGAAGAAGTTTTGTGCAATTGAATGATTCAATTGTTTTATTTTAAAATAAAAAATTATTCAATCATCGTCTAAAATTCGATATGTAACAAATTATTTATCTTTCTTTCTTTTAACAAAGTTGCAGCAAACCTCCTTGCTTGAACATTTAAGTGTGAAAATATCACGTGTACAGTTGAATGTATATACATATGAAACAAAATCGCATTTATCTACTATGGCGCTACCAGTCGCCGACACGGACATCAGCGATAACAATCAAATGCAAAATGGAACTCATTTCACAAATAAAGACGTTGTGAAATCGGAATGTTTCATGTCGCGAAAATAAAATCTCTGTTGTTGCTATTTCTACACAATTCATTGACATGATACGAATTAGCATAAATATTAACGGACGCACGACATATATCTACCCGCAATGAAAGGATGAGCCATTTCAATTAAAATGTTTTAAGACATTTCTTGAAAATAAGCAAACAAAATAATCCCAGAAAGAAAGAAACTTTATTTAATTCGTCGAATAAATTTTCCTTAATAACTGAGGCTGTCATCGAGTGGTTTTGACGAAAATCACTTCCAATGAATTTTCTTATTCAACTGATAAATGTCAAAATAAAAATATGTTATTCACAAGTGTGAAGTTTGATTAACAAAAATCACAACATTTAAAAGAGAAAGGAAAGGCAACCATATCTAGGTGAGTGAATGAATAAAACTCATCACTTTGACTTTTTTACAATTCAGAGATTTCAATAAATGTTTCAATCTTAACAGCAGGGTTCGCTTGAAAACACTTGAAATGGTGAGAAGAATGAAATCTGACTTAGAGAACTGAAATCTTACTCTAAATTTAGAATTGGGAATGAGGAATATAGGTATGTTTCATCGGAAATAAGAAGAAAAAGTCACTCAAGGCGCGAGTAAAGTGAGTGAGAGAGCGTAATAATCTTTTACTAATTATTATCATTCTTCGTAATATGGCAGCGAACAGACGCGTTGTATATTTTTTAAATTAACTATCAAATGTGTACGAACAATACTAATTATGGCAAATTATGAGAAATTTTCTCTTTGCCTTTAACAGACGCCTTTAAACAGTGTGGAAGTGAGAGAAAAATATTTAATCTCTAATCGTTCTGGTTGCGATTTGTTCTGCTTTTGTTTGTGTTGTTTATAGTAAATTTCAAGGGACGCTTAAGGTTTAGTTGAATGATTTACGACATTTTAATTGAGAAGCGCTTTTTAAAAAGATTGCACTTGTCGCATTGCAGTCCATTTAACACAATTTGCTGAACAACTTTAATTTACATGTTATTCTTATAAGTTTCGCAAGAATCCAAAAATAATTAAGCCCGTTTTTCGTCTTTGTCTACTTCCTTGTTTAAAACAAGATTCCCAGAAGTAGAAATTAATATTTGCTTGTTAAAGTTTAAATATTATTATTGCTTATTCTTGGTTTCGTTAGATTGTCAGTTCACTACTGTTAATTATTGTCATTGATGATTCAAAGTTATTTAAAAGGGAAAATTTGAGGCGAATTAAAACGATATTTACATTGTCTGGAATTTGATTTTGAATCGCTTGAACGAGAAATAAATTCACACAAATGCAAAAATTGCCAAGTAAAATAAAAAATAATAATACAAAGCCAAAGTTGGAGGTTGCTTAGCACATATACGTTTTTATCAGAACGAAAATGGAATAATTATGGAATATTTTTATTATTGTTTCACTCGTTTCATCATATTATCGCTGAACTTTTTTTTTGGATTTTACTAGCAATACATCCCGTTACTTAATTTTCATCATCATCATCATTTTTGCTTTCAAATTAAGCGCCTAAAGATAAATGACTACTTGCATGTCACTACTTGTCACAGTCGTCTAATTCACAATAATCTCACGACATCAAGTACCAACAAATGTAAAAAGGAGAGTGGATGAAGTGAAAACATGACATTCAACAAGCCATCACAGTACAGAGTCAAATCATTACAAATGATAAACTGTAAGCTTATTTTATATTTTTCTGCTTTACTTCGCTAAACGATTTTCATTTTTAAAACAGCAGAAAATATGTGTAATATTATGATGTTGTGACATTGAAGTATTTTGTGGCTAGTTTCTGTTTTACTTTTATAGTTGTGTGTGTATAAGTATTTATGACGACTCAGACTTGACTGATTACGTTTTTCATAAAATTATACTAAAATTGATGCTTTATACATACAAACTTCTATTACCCATTCTGTCGATGATTGTTTTTCTTTGCTTCGAAATCTATTAGAATTCGGCGAAACTTCCAAATGCACACAAAATAGTTACTTAAATATTAAAATCGTCATTGAAATATTCACGTTGCATCAGAAGATGAAAAAAAATTTTTTTCCACAAACAAACTCTTCTTTGTATCTTTTGTGTGACTGTTTCCATGGAGCACCGAATGAAGCCTTCAAAATGTCAATCATTGCGAAGCGTATATTTTTTCGTGTAATCTTTTTGTAGTGGATCGTCTCAGGGTCTTTCGAATCCGATTGTAAACAATCTACTACCAAGCAGTCAACTAAGGTTTAAACTTTAAATAAAAATTATCTTCTTTTAAGAAATAATTTTGTAATTACTGTCACAGATACTAAAATTAAATAAAAATCAATCACAAACGAACTTTAACATTTTTACCCAGAATTCCATTTTTAAGCTTCCGTCTAGAAGAAAACAATACAATTATGGAATTATCGCTTTGCGTTTCTTTAATAAATACATAATTTAAATATTAAACTAAATCCATTTGTCAGTACCAGAATAATCTAAATTTACTGATGACCTCGATCTCATCTTAGTGAATTAACATCGATAACGCCAAATTTTTGCTGGATTGTTAACAACACGTTTTGAAAATGTTTTGTCTTGAAAAGTTACATTTTGAAAATAACAAAGTTCGTCTATGTGGAGCTTTGCTTCTTAGACGATATCTAGGAACGTCTCAGATTTATTATATAATTTTAAAATTTCCTAGATTTTTGAGGCAATTGATAAAGGCATTTGAGTCAGCAGAACATGTTTTATCAAGACAATAGTAAAGTCAAAAGCACTAAAAGACTGTTCTATATTTTTCAGATAATTCTAGAGGAAAATCCTAAAATTGTTTAAATGACCTCTATTAATTTCATTCAGTTATTTCAAAACTAATTTCCTTCGCTTGAAAAAAAACGGAAATCATTTAAGAAGGAATCTGCCCACGCAAGTCAACTTTTAATTCATTCATAAATCAAATGATATAAAACTTTTGTAGAAAGGATAAAAACATCTTCCCAACAATTTATTTAATGCCAACTAAAGCAAAAAATTTGGATCCGAAAACATTTTTATATTTTCAAAAGGAACCTAAGGAGATACTTTAAGTGAAAGAAAATTAATTTTTTTCTCTTTCATGTTTTCTATTGACCACCTACTAACACCCATTGATATTTTCTATTCTTGCAGAAGTCTTTACTATGAATTATTAAGAGAAGGAAGCTACCAGAATAACGAGAAGAAGAAATAAGCATTTGAGGGAAATTCTGCAACGTTCACAATTCTATGTGTACGTGATATGTCAGTTTGTGTTGTTGATTTGTTTGCTTTCTTTTTCTAAACATTGTTCTCATAGCTCGGATACTTCGGGCCAACGCAATAGAGAGAAAAAGGGTCAACATGATTAATTTTCATTTTATTTCCTTTCGATGGACTTTTCTCAGTTGTTATCTTCATAGAAAATGGTTTCCGTCGATTTTGCCTTTTCGACCCAAATCCAAATGTCGAGCTCACGTTGCGAATGACCATATAAAAAAATTAAAAAAGATATCTACAATAGAAAATAATATGAAATTTTCGTTTCTTGCATTGGAAACTGTTCATTCCACAGGACTAAAAGGTTCATATACAAGTTGTGAATTTGAAATGATATTATAAAAGTGAGATATCTACTGATCTTTTATTAAACATTTTGTGTCATTTTTTTAATTCATCTCTAGGTTAAAGAAATTCTATGTTAATGATAAAAAGAAAACTCTGTTATTTTCTTAAAGGTTTCATCTTTTACTTTTCCTTTTTTATAATTTCATGTTCCACCATTGCCACATGGTTCTAATAAATCATAAATAGGATTTATCATGGCGCCATTTGATGATCACACTTTGATTGATTTCCATGTAGATATGTATCTAAATAATTTCATTGATAATTATTTTTCACATAAGGCGGAAGAAACAAAGCTCGCTCGTTACAAGATGGAAAGTAAATGAATAATTTACTAAGAAACATCAGTCAATTGAAAAATAAAAGAATGAAAAACATTTTTAAGCGATTGATTTCATAAATTGGTGAGGATTACTGAATAATAATATTCTCTCTATTTAAGTTTATGCTCAAGTAAATCTATATGTGTGTGTGTGTGCATTTTTCTGAATTATTATAATTTCATTATGATTCTCTATCAAAAATCATCACGCAACAGAGGAGAGTAATTAATAATTAGATAATAACACCGAAATCGTTTCACAACTTTTATCTTATTTCGTCAAAAAAAGAAAGAGGAAATTTTTAAATTTTAAAAACAGTAAAAAGTCAACTTATCGGATACTAGATTCAGAAAATCAAAGTATTAGGTATTGTTCATTAATATATAAATATTTAACCCGCTACCATTCCAGGCGACGAACACTTCTCGCTTTTAAACGGGATAATTTATTTCCCATAAGTAGCGATGTAGAAGAATTGAATAATTTTTATACAAATATATACTTACTTATTTACTCTCTCACACACACACGCACACACACACACACATTTGGAAAACATAAAATATACCGTAAAGTTGCTTCGGTTTTGTATGTTTTTCTTCCTCCCTTTATTATTCCATAGTTAACTTTGAAGCAAACCAAAGAAAGGCGGCGGCGACGACAAGGCAGTTTATTAATTTTATTATTTCCACGATTCCTTCAACACTGGTAATTTTCAATTGAATTTTTTTTCTTTCCTTTTTTAACCCTGGAACGATTAAGGCATGAGGGTTCATTAATTATAGGGACGCAAATACTCAAATCGCAAACTTTTCATTTCAGATATCTTTTAACAGATTAAATACAGTGGAACTTCAATAAACAGATGGCTGAAGGTGCATCAGTTAATCGAGGTATCAGTTAATCAAGGTTTATCTGTTTATCGAAGTAGCTGTTTATCGAAGTTCCACTGTAGTAAGATTATGAATCAAAGTCATACAAATTTTTGAAATAATATAAACTTGGTAAATCTTAAACCTCAAAAAGTTTTGATAACTCAGATTAATGG